CCAATAACAGACTGATCAATTGCAGTCTTAGACCTCAAAGGGAAGATACAAGCCAAACAATACCAAGTGAATTGAAATTCACCCCATTGCACAAGCAAATGGCTATCAGGACTCAGTAGCTGAGTGGATAAGGCGATGGCGTTTGAAGCAAATGGCACTCGGTTCGAGTCCCAGAGTGAACATCAACTCTCAGAGATGCAGGTACATCCAGCTGACGAGTCCCGAATAGGACGGATTCCACTGTTAGCCACTATCCATCACTGAACCATACTATTGTTTCTATGATTCGTAATATATAGTTCATATTCTTGAAAAATATTCTCCTCTAAATAGTTTGATGATAAACAATAAGCTGAATTGTAGAAATTTAAATTCTTTTTTGATTTATTATAATTGTTTTCATTTGTTTTAATGATAGCTACAGGATCATTTTGTCGATGTTCAACTATAGTACTCTGATTATTATCATTAATCATATCAATATTATTATTAATATTTAAATCATTCATCATAAAATTGTGTTTAATCTCAGATATACCTGATACCATATTCATCTTGTTTAAGTCTTCTAATAATAAATGATTCAAATCATAAGTCAATTGAAGCTAGACCACCATGGAAAACGTGGTAGCACTGGACGGCCACAACCCCTAAACTGATAATTATCATGTGCTCACAAGTGACTAGCTTCGTGAGAAAATTCTCGGAGTTCTGGTGAGAAGCCGTGACAAGTGGAGCTAATCCGTGTCGGGTAGAAACAGGTGTCTACCTCAGTACAATGGAAGATGGTCGCGCAATTTCTTGGATTGGTTGAGGTTAGACATTGACACCATTGGATGCCGGCTCAGTGGTCTAGTTGGTTAAGCGCCTGGCGCGGAGCTGATAGGTCCTGAGTTCGGATCTCGCGGGGTGCGGGATCATGGATTCGCACTGTTGAGGAGTCCCATACTAGGACGAAACGGCCGTCCAGTGCTTCCAGGTTTTCTATGGTAGTCTAGCTTCAATCGACTCATGATTTCAATCAAGAACTTAACAATCTCCACAACACCTAAACTGATAATAAATGATTAGTTTCCATTGTTGAATTAGTCAATCGTTTTTTTGAAAAATAAAGAAAGGAAATCAATCGGAAATCCATTTATCATATGATGAAAGCCTAGTAAGTAGAAACATACAACCTGGATGATAATAATAATAGTACATCTTAAATTTCTTTTAGAGGTTATGATAGGCTGATAAGTAAGAGTTATAAACTTAAAATCCTACACATGAATAAATAAAACGTCCAAAATAATAATATTAATAATAATAATAATGGGTCAATCGATCAACTAATACAGTTATATTAGAGAAAAAAAGGCGTATTAACTAGATTTTATTCACTAACCAGATTCAATTTAACAGTCACAAACTCTCAAGAATAGGGCTTTTTATTGTATAAATCAGGCTGAGGTTACCTGAGATATTTTCGCTCTTGGTCATGTCTCTCTCTGTACAGTTAGTAGACGAATGCTGAGTGGTGAAGTGTAAGATCGGACATGTTCATAGCAAACAGCTGTAGATAATTCATGTCCGTTGAAATGTTGATAATGAGCTATTACAAAAATATAATCTAGTATTCTCTGTACAGCAACCATAAGAAGTATATTCTTACTTCATCATTGTAAACTTGACCACAGAATGTTATTGAAACTATATGTTATTAAAATGCTTGATAACTTCACCGAATAAGTATTCAGCGTGTTTTAATTTTGAAAAAAATTGTAAAACTTGTTCAGTATAGTTGTGTGCTAATTTAAATGTTCAGTTTAAGCGATTCTAAATGATCTTACGACGATTTGATTGATTCTGTTTTTTCTTACCATTTTCCTTACCTTGTAGACTCTATACCTCTCCATTTGTAAGATGGCGAGCTCCATTTGATGACTAATTGCCCATCAACCAGATGAGGTGATTCCCTACAGTGGGTTAAATACATGTGATATGATGACAGAAAGTTCAAATGAAAGTGGCGCGAGTAAACAACTAAAATAGAATGAATTGATATGTACTTCTATTTAAATCTAAAAAACAAGTACGTGTATCGTATGCTACTTATGTTGACAGATATAAGTAGTGAGTTTCCACAATATCACAGTCTGTCTCGAACAGAGATGCTAAAGATCATAAAAGCAGTCTATGGTTCCGTATATCTGATGGGACGATAAACAAACAGCATATATTCTTTATTAGCTTCTGAAGCTATAACCATCGTTGTAGTTGACTTCATTTGTGAGACCCAGGGGAAGAGAATCGAACAGGATGTCGCCAGTATGTTTTGCTACGAGTTTAAGTAACTTAAACTTTCAAGTCTGTCATGGTGTCATCAGTACAACCATGCTGGCTAATTTTCATGCGTCTCAGGTGATGAAGAGACCTACAAGTATAACAGAGACGGAGCACTGCATTACCAGTAAGTGGCACTGGGTGAGTTAATAAAAGCTATGTCGGTAGCCTTCTGATTTATAATTAAGAAAACTAATGACCTGAAATGAAGGTTTTTAGCATTTATCCGACAGTGTTTTGTCCAGGACACTGGTCCGACGTTTTATTGGTGATGATAGCACGAGCATTAAACCAATTATCTATCTGCCAACTTTCCGGAAACCCATCAAGTTTCATCCAAAATTAACGTCATGCGCGGCGTTCTGAAGCTAGCAAGCTTTTCATATTAAATGAATATGCTTTCCTTAGGATATACCAACCAGCATGTTTCAAATATTTCTCGAATCAATGCCAAAAAACATGGAACAGTATGGACGTATTTAGTTCGTTACTACTATTCCTAGATTTAACTTAAATCTGAATGTAATTCAGTCGAAAATTCCTACCTTTTTCCGTTTCTTGAAAAGAACCTATAGGCGTAAAAGGATAAATGGACTCGATCAATTGCGTTACAGGATCGCACACTTACGCAGTTTAATATCGATTTCGTTAGAGCTGCAAACAAGGTTGTGAATATGAGCAATTTAGATTGACAGTGTCCTGTTCTATGTTTCATTTGCATCAGTGAAGTGGTTACTAGATTTATAGTCTCACGCTTTGGTCACGAAGGGTCCTTGGGTACAAATATAATGGGATTGTAGTAGCAAATATTTTCTCAAAATCAATAGCGCAATGAGTATTTGATGTGGGGATGACCTCATCAGTTTTAACCAATTGGACAAACTGAAGGCGCATGGGCAAGCATCCACGCCGTTTCTTGGTACTACTCACGTAAGATTCTTGTTCAAGCCTAGTGACCTCGAATGAAGTCTGTATAAAAAAGACTGAAGAGGTCAAAATCAATATTGAGTACATACCGCACTATCGAATCGAGGTAATAACTAACCTCTACAACTGGTTTCTCCCTCAGCATCGCAACAGTGATGTTTCATGTAAGAGAATTCGCTAATTCCATGATAAGAGTGCAAAATAATCAATAGGAACCAACAAAAACGGACTGACAAAACAAACAGTGGAAACTTTTGACGGTCGTCACACAAAATCTCAGAAATAGTAATTAGGACTCTAATAAGATATAAAGTTTTATCAATGTTTTGGAAAGATTTCCTGAATGAACTGACGAATATGAATGTTAATTACATGTATCAATGAAGTCACACTCTCTAAGGACTGGTGTCTAGCGAAACCTATACACTAATGCAAATAGCACTTTTAAGACTATTAGTCCTAAACGGTCATAAAAATAACCGACCTAATGAACCTTTATAGGCTGAATGGGCTAGGAAGTATTACGTATGCCGAATCCCACTTAACTCGACACACGATGTTTGCTGATGTGAGAATAAGTTGAAACCAAGGCGTAGCATCAGTCCAAAAAGTTATCGACCCTTGATATAAGACATGTTGGTAGACTCTGATGACCTGCTTGAGCAATTATTGTTACCAATAGTCATAGACACTGAATAGGTTAGTTTGGAATCGGTTGAAATAGCGCAGGTTTGTTTGAAAAAATCTACTTTTTATTCAATCGATGCCGTTGTTACTCCTGTAAGGAATGAGAACTCAGATGTGGACAACCAAAAGGAAGTTATAGAATATCTTGGTAAAATGTGAGAATCGTACACTGAATACTTCATTTGCAAATTTCCATCATTTGTTCTTCACATTCTGCATAATTATTGCAGTTCAAAATTCCTTTCTATTCTCTTTAATTTGAGCTTTCTAGCCATCTGCTGACAGGTTTTCCACTTCTGATTGGTGTTATATACTATTTATGTCTGCGACATAAGTAGCATACACCATACTTATACTACTGTGACATTGGTCTTGATAATTTCGCCTCACTATGTAGGACAATATAGTGTGGTAATCTGAAACGATGAATATATTTGCTATGTCTTATGCTGCTTATGACTGATTAATATTACTTCTTGAAGTAATCTATGGTAAGAAATTATTGAATTATGTTGGCCCATAAAAAAAATTTACTCACCAGGCTTGAAATATAGCCACAAAAGTAATTGTATGAAGTTAATACACATTCACTAAATAAATCCAACTTTCTGTATTAAATTAATTAGCTAAATAAATATTATATGTCATAAACTGCTCTCAATTAGAGTGCTATAGTAATCAACCAGCACTAGACAGCTATTTCGTCCAAGTATGGGTCTCCAGTAGTGTGCACTCACGACCCAAGAAGAGATAGAACCCGAGAACTTCAGGTATCGTAGAGAACTATTGATCAATAGAACCAGTGGATTGGCATCTAAACGAAAAACCAAACTAATTTCCACAAAACCATTTCAACTAAACCTATCTTGAGTCAAAGCTCGTCAAATTAAATCACTAAGATTTTTATATATAACACCAAAACAAAAACCAGTTATCGCATGGTTATCTGATAATCAGTTAAAATACAAGTGTATCTAGAAAAGACGAAATAAACGGAGCAAGCAATTTAACCACTACGGAAACCTGGTGATTAAAAGTTACATATAAGAAAATAAACAGTTCACTGATAACTTCAAACGTTTTATTTAGAAAAAAAATTGTCATTGCTATTTCATATTCAATTAAAAAGTATTTACATAATTATGTATAAATATTTTATAAGTAAATGGAATTCCATCTTACATTACTCTATAACATCATGTAAAACAGAACAGAGAGGGAAACTAGATACATACATACATACACACACACACAGAGAGAAACAATCAATCAGTCAATCCAACAAAGAAAATTATTGCATAAATAAACAAATTCTTTTTTAGACAAAAAAGGAGACAGAATTGTATAGATTTACACGTGGATGATTCAACACAATATGAACTATATTCCCTTCTTTTAGTTTTTAAGTTAACGAAAAGAATATTCAATAGAAATAGATGTTGTTGCTGCTTCATGTAGTAAACTATACACTACTTACTAATATTACTACTAGTTAACCAATTTATTACAAATACACATGTATCGAATAAAAACTAACAAGCTGAATATTTCTTTTTTCTATACTCGAAAAGAAAATTACTAGATGAATTAAAGATTATAAACAAAACATATACAGATCAGTAGTATGACTGTAAGGAATAAAAACATGTATTGTGTATATGTGTGTAAGAGACAAAAACGAAGTGGACAATAATAACAATAACCACTACTACAAAGGCAATAATACTTGTTGGTCTGATCCAGAAAACAATGAATTAAGTTTGTGTGTGTGTATGTGCAAGTGTACGTGGTACTATCTTTTATGTGTATGAGAGCGGATATGCATCTGCATTGATATAATAATAATATCGTGGTGTTAAAAAATAACAATGATTAAAAGTAAAATCCACAGGAAGACATACTGGGTAGTAACAATATGGAACAATCGCAAGTGGTTGTGAAGTGAAGAAATAGCAGAAAAGTTATAACATGATACAGAGAGAGAGAGAGAGAAAGTAATGACAACAATAACATGCAACAAAATTTGACACCCAAGTTCCAGTGTCCGCTTTAAATTTCTTAACTGTACTAATGAAATTTATGTTAAAACATAAAAAATGATGACGGCAGGGGGTGTGGATTGAAAAAAAAACACGAATCGAACAATTATTAAGTGCATTTTGTTTAAAAAACTTGAAAATTATTGAACAACATTAGAAAATAAGGAAGCCTTCTCGTATAGCGAAGACAAAAAACACAAGTATGAGTTTATACACAGATACATATACATACACAAAAGTCAATCAACAGTTTGAGATTTATCAAGAATAGGAAAACATATACAAGAAACAAACTGACAAACGAGTATTTTTTACTCGAATACAAAAGAAGCGACACTAGCAGTAAATAGTCAAATAAATACAGATAAGAACTTAATTGACAAATGCATTTGGCATATCATTGATAATAAACATAAAAGTACCATTCACTATATTTGTTACGATTTTTACTATTAGTAGTAGTAGTATATGGAAGTAGTATATTTGCTATTAATAACAACAGTGATAGTGACAAATGACGAGTCGTCAAAAATACCAATAAGAATAAAAGACAGATTTCGTGTGTACATGTGTAAAGAGAAGCCTGTAAAATTCAATGTACACATACGTATACACATTGAAGCTGATCAAATTCGTACTACAACTAGGTTTATCAATAACAATAATGTAGCACATTTACCAGTAATATTAGTTGTGCAGATCTGAGATAGTGAGGTATGCCCCAATATTCAAATTCATCAAGAGTTACCAGTATCCGATGATTGTGTAGGCGAATGAATTTTCTTCATACTATTATTAGACTTACATTTGTCAATATAATTAGTAGTCAGATTCGATTTATCATCATTGAAAATAGCCGGTTTCATTGGACGAGTGAATGGTGGTTGGACAATTATAGTACTTTCAATGTTATTATTTATTAATTGAGTAGTAGTTGTAGTATCTGTTAGTCCGGATATGGGTAAATGTGTAGTACTATTTGTTGATAATGATGAAGACGATGAGGAGATATTAAAATCGAAATGTGGATTTACAATAAATGATTCACTTCGATTATTATCATTATTATTCCTGCTATTACTTAATGAACTGCTAATATTATCAGAGATAGTAGTTGTGGTATTATTACCAGTGAAAATGGTTGTCGATGCTATAAAATTTAAAGTATTTGTGTTCTGGTTATTGTTGTCAGTAGTTACATCCAAATAACAAGTTTCGTCCATATCTAGAACACCGTTTACTGTGGAAAAGTCCGAACTATTCAGATCATCTTTATATTTCTTAAAGCGAATTGAATTTTTAATTGATGCCAGACTGGCAGGAGAGAATAAAGCTAATAGTTCATGGAATGGACTACGACTGTGATGATTAAACGATGAGGAATTTGAAGACATCATCGAAACAGAAGTAACTAAGGGTGAATTATTACTAGTGGTAGTAGTAGCACTACTACTACTACCAATATTTCGGTGATATCGAAAAGTAGATGAGGACGATAATGTACTAGCAACATCATTAATATAATTTGTTATCAGTCCAGGAAATGGTCTAGGCAATGAGGTGGATTGATAAAATGATGAATTCGGTAATACTGATGATGAGGATGATGTTTGAGAATTTGATTCAGTGCACAATAAATCTAGCGCTTCTTGAGTTTTACTCGAATCCAATAAACCGGAGTTCACTGCAAAATCAATAATTGCACGATAACAAAATACATACTGTGACGATACTTGAACACAGCCGAAACGTTGTGAACGTACTCGAGCGACTGTTAGAGGAATATTGATTTTATGCTCTGTATTACGTGAATCAGCTAACCATTTTGTACATATATCCACAGTTACATAAGTACCTAAGAGAAAAACGAGAAACAATGACGAATATCTATCAATTTGGAATGGATGAATTATTCAGTCTTCATTAGTGCACACTGCATTTTTTGGTAAATTAAAAATTGACATTTAAATGCCTTTTACTTATTTAATGAAATTTTTTTAGTAAATGGATGCAATATGTAATAATTTGATTAATCACTCTAGACCATCCACTTTAAAAGAAAAGTCAGTGTTTTTTAAAACAATTACTAATTTTTTTGAAAAAGCCGATCTCACTAGATACCAACAGTGATTTAGAATGTTTGTGTCAATGAACTAAAATTTTATCTACTTCAAATTTTGATTGATTTATTTATTTGAACACATAAATATTGGTACAAAGGGGCACCGAATACATATACGCCACACAAGTCAGGTGGTTTTCTTAGGGGGGGGGCAAACCCGGAGCCTTCGACCTAAAGGTCTAATCTACAAGGCAATGGAGTGACGTAAGGAGATGGAGTCCTATGGTAACCAGTGACCAACGATTGGTTCATACGTCATTTGTTCCTTCCGGATACTGGAGCCCATGTGAACTATTGGTTTGGAATCAGGGTTTTCGAACTCCCCTAGGTGGATCCTCTGTATCCACCAACCCGGTTAAAGTGCCGGATATTCGCTTTTCGTCCTCTGAATTTCGTAAACGACATCCTCGCCACCAGAAGGCACTGAGTAGAACTTGCCTGGCAGTGGTTGTATACGCGTGGCCACGTGATAGCATTTGGAGAAGGGAAGCGGATTATTTCCACCCGGCATTTGGGGGTAATAATAATAATCCCATTTAGCTGACGAACCATACAGTGTAAACTATTTAAATATTTTCTTGTTGTAATTTTATCTTGTCTCAATACATATGGACATGTCCTACGGATGTCATCTTAGAGAATTCTACTTCGTGAATTAATGGTCGACGCTAGGACCGGTTGGAAAAAGCGGAGAGGTGGTCAGTGTATGACATGGTGTCGTGGTACGAAAAGCTGTACAGGACTGGTTTCTGTTGGTCTTTCACAACTTCCTGGTTGGGGTCCTAGAGATGGTGCAACACAGTGGCTAGAGACGTTATCAAACATAGATCAGAACAGAAGTCAGTGGCGATCCTGCTGTAAGTCTCTTTTATTTTCATAAAAATGAACGTGACTTCTTTAACTGAAAGGATTCTTTCTGGTTGTATTTTTCCTAGCTGAACTGTTTCTCGTATTATTATTATTTCACTCTCATAACTAAATTTTGTTCGTTGTTTCTCTTTTTATTATGCTCACTTTACATTGTCTATCTCTTCACAAAGTCATTGTTATTGTATGGCGCAAATCTATTTGTTGTCTCCTTGTACCAATGTTCATGTGTTCAAATAAATAATTATTAATTATGCTAAATAATAACTGTTGTCTGATATTTTTATGATTCAACAAGACGCAAAGATATTGAAAGAGAGAAATAATCATACTCATTATCCATTCATAGTGTTCAATCTAATCTCTTGGTCAACAAGTATCTAATCAATTTACATGATCTTATGAATTTGGAAGTGATAATTAAATGTTTTCAGGTTTGTAACATTCAAGTGAATTCATTAACTATTGTGTTTGTTTACACTTCTCTTAGATAATATTTTAATGTATCCACAATTAAGTTGAAATGTATTATTATTACTATTATTATGATTCTACATGTCTTTATTTTGTGCTTGAAATGTAGATAACTAAATACTCCCCATAAAACTGAATAATCTAAAGCTAGCAGACTAATGAATATCTCTACAATTAATATTTAAAATAGTGAAATATTAGCAGCTGTTCGAACCTACTCTGTGATTTCTTAGTAGTACATATTCAACATCTCCTACGAGATCGGACCCTAGTCATTACAGATATAAATTATTTCGGAAAAAACAAGATTTGATCTTGCTTAGATAAGGTTTGGGAGTGAGTACTACAGTTAAAGATTCCCAAGTGAAGATAATACAGTTGCTCAATACTCTCTTGGTTTTTAATGGTTTTCATAGACAGTGTTGAGTCCACGTTGAAAACTACCTTCAAAAATAAAACAAGTCTTAGTACACCAATTAACTGAATGGATTACATCAGTTGTTTAGGTTAACAAATGCTCTTGAGATCACTGTGGGTGAAATACATGAAGTGAATTAAGCTAGGTATCAGAACAATTTAACAGTGATGGGAGAAATACGCTACATTTAGTTACTTTAACCACAGAAAATGGTAAGGTTTTGAGTAGCTCGGTTGATTAGCTAACTTGATAAGAATACTAAAAGTTTAAATAAGAAATGAAGAAGTTTGGTGAAGGAAGTGATTATTAAGATTTTGAAGCAAACTCTTCACTGATTAGATCTTATTGGAAAATTTTAACTTAAGAGAGATAAAGTAACTGTAAAAACAAACACAGACGTTTCAAGAAAAGTATCTGAATATGGAAACAAAGTTACAGATTGTTTGGTTACCACAAAGAACTGATAGTTATGAATATCGGTGAACTCCCATAAAATCCATGAAATCTCTAGTGATGTTTACGAAGATAACGACAGAAGAAAAGATAGTACCCTTTTAATGGATGAAAGGTTTCAGAGTCGTCATTAGGACTATAAGGATGATATGAAGCCAAGACGATTTTGAGCTTCAAGTACTAATGAAAAAAATAGAATATGTATGGTTTGTTTTGCTATTCCAGGGATCGACACCTTCCTATCACATTAATAAATAAGTTGAATTCGGTTAAAATCGTCTGTACACATACGTTTATGGTTGAAGGAATCGTTACTAGAAATTTACAACAACAATGCAACTAGAAAGCCTGAATTTTGAAATCTTCCAGGCATGTTTTGAATAATTAGGCAACGGAACGGCTTCAGTGCTACAAACGAGAAGTGTTCTTTGAAGAGGGATAAAACTGTTTTACTTTAAATTTTGTATCAGAAATTTTTATGACTTCAACTCGTGTATTGATTGGACTGAATAGGCAGTTACCAGGTAAAGATATATGTATACGGTTTTAATCCCCACTTTAATTGTGAGGTTATCCGAACTCAAGGAGGTGAAACGGAGTTTAAACTCGAGAGACTATGTGGTTGAAAGTTGAGGGCTTTAACAACTGACCTACGAATCAGTGGCAGTAGTTAATGTACCTCCATCCCGGTTTTAACAGCTGAATCCAAGAGGCCAGATTTTTTTTCGGGAGGATAAGCTGATACATGAGGTCAATAAAACGAAGTTTCAAAAATAATACACAAAATTGACGGATTATCTGACATTGTCTAAGGGGGAAAGATGTATATTTATGAACGAGTCTGCATACATTCCCGACTTGGTTTTAGTAAATAAAATTTTCTTCTTATTCAAGTACTGGTCTGAGGTCACGCATAGGAAGCTCATACACTAGGATCAGACTCGTACGACCATACAGCATAATAGAAGAAAACACAGGGAATTCTATCGAATTACTGCAAACGTATGCATAAGTATGTATAACTAATAAGTACTTTATATATATAAATACACAGGTCAAACCACTTACCTGTTCTACCAATTCCTGCACTACAGTGTACAACGACTGGAGGAGGTGGAATTTTCTGATTTTCATAGGTTTTATAGCCCAATTTTTCAATTTCATTCAAATAAGTTGATTGAACGGAAGTGAGTAAATCTAGTAAACCTTCAGTTGTTTGAGGTGTACCATGATCAGGCCATGAAAAGAAAGCAAAATGTTCAACAGTCCGTACTTCGTGTAGCTAAAATAACAAATAAAAGGCATTGATTTGAAATAGAAATAACCACAAAATTTGAGTGGAAACAAACAATTAATATTCTCATCAGTGAGGTATCGATTTTTCTATGAAAAAAAAAACAAGCTAAGCGACATAAAACGAGATGATGGGGAATGTTTGTAGTTTAGAATGAAGATGCTGGAGGTATTGTGTTCATTAAACTGGATTAGTTTAGTAGAAGCTTCTTTCTTGGCGAAGTTCTACCATTTTCAAATAGCAAGAAGCGAGTTACGTTTTCCTAACTTTCATATGATAGGAAATATCTGTAAATCAAGATGATAAATTTTGAGTTGCAACCCCTAAGATCTTCAACATGAGCATCAAAATATTCTCAATTATCTTAAAATCATACGAACGTGGCGTGTTTCTCGTCGTTTGGAGATAAGTGAACTTCTCCAAGAAGCTAGTTTTTACAGGAACAGAACTAAATGATTCAGCTTAGAGAAGATAAAACTTTCAGAAAAATAAAATGAATGTATAAAAAGACAGAACTGTTGATGAATTATACAATTTTTGAGAAAAACGAACTGGAACTTAGATAGTAATAAATCATTTGCTTTGCTGGATAAACATAAAAAACATTGAAAAGAGGTAATTTATAAGACCATTATTAACAAAGAGGTGGTGTTTTCAGAGCTTAATTTTCATTAATTTATGACACCTGGTAAAACAAATACTTACATTCTAGTAAAACGTTTTTTGCTAGTAAATCATTTGTGTTTATTTATTCACATAATAAGTATGGAGCCCAACACTTGGTTTTTTATATGATAAACAATAATGATTTACAGATATACAAACTTAATGTGGCACAGTAAATGTTAGTTTGCACACATCATATTTTCAATGAAAACCACCGCAGTGAAAAAGAAACTGATGATTACAGGACACTAGGGTGACCTACAAAGAGGACATTACAAGCAATTAACAGCAGAACGTGCTACCAAGTATGTACAACAAAAAGATTACGATACAGATAACGAAGTATCATCAGTCATAAAACTTACAGTTCCTTGCCATAGATTACTTGTACTTTGGAATGATTAGACCTGAAGTCTTCTTAATCAGCTAGTCCTATATCAAATCAAATAATCCTTATGAGTAGGCCAGAACTTTTTAACATCTAGTTCGTTTCATTTTCCCTTTGCTTTGAAACACTGCTCTCGTTTCATGGGCTAAACGAATGAGTAGTATTAGGATTAGGTGTAGCATAGTAGCAAAACAGCAAATTGGCTGATGAAGTTGTGAATATTAATCGACTGCACTGGTCAGAACATATTATGTACTCTTAACCATGGCCTACCTCGACGAGTGTTGCTCGTTGCTGTAAGAGTATTTTGGAAGAAAGCTAGCAGTGGTTGAATAAAGACATGACGACAAACCATTAGGTCATTGACTGTTGACCTAAGCTATGATTGTGGGACTATAGATACTGATTGGGGTCCATGTGATAACCGCGATCGTTGGTTAGAGACGTTGTGAGAGACAGTTAAGAATCTGTCATAATAGTGAAAATCTATTGACTGTTTATTTTCCTTTAAATCTTGATACCCAGTAATCCACTGTACATATCTTTTTGTTTTGTATTTCTGAAATATATTACTCAGTGTTCGACATTTCCTTATTAATACTGATCCAATATTACGTTGATTCCTTTGTTATTCATCTATCCAAGTAGCTCTCTTAAAGCTAATGTGGTATATATATATATATATATATATATATATATATATATATATATATGGGTTAAGTTATCTGTCGATGATGACCGACTCTTAACATTACAGGCTATTAGAAAGATGGCAACTTGGTAATAAACATATCATATCCATATATAAAATATATACCTCAGTTGAGTGGCAGCTTAATGGTTAAGGTGGTCGACTTCCAACCGCTAAGTAACGGATTCGAAAACCGATCCACATACTTTAGTTTAGGTAATCGGGTAGTAGTATTAGCGCTCGGGCTCAGAGTGTGGTTCGTATCTAATAACCTGGTGAATTAGTCTGTTTAACTTAGATTTCACTTCAGTCAACGAACTAATTATGTAATAAACTGATGGTTTATCACAGAATTAACCACACCTTGTCGGTCCGGCAAAAACCACTTCTACCCTAAACTTACATACAAACATAAAGCAACCAAGCCTATTTACAGGTAAAAAGTCCAATTGATATTTTCTATTGAGAAAAAAAGAGAAAATAGTGAAAGAAAGATCATAATCATCATGCAAACAACATGATCATTTACGAACAATCGTATAGAGTGAATTTAAGAAAAGCGTTAAGAAAAAACTAGGAATAAGAAGTAATTTGAAGAGGAGGCAAAAAAGAGTGAAATGAGGAATTGAAGTTACATTTATCTATTTACTGAAAGCAAAATATTAGAAAATAGTTTAGAACGTACACAAGCGTGTGCGAAAAGAAGAAATTGATGAACCCAAAATCAAGATGTAGAAATGAAGAGGAAAACTACATAGAATGAGTTGTTTCAAATGAAAAAGAGGAAGAATAGCAGAGAAAATTTGTAACACACTTGTAAATACATACATACACAGATCATTTATGTGAAAACCTGAACATAAACAAACATATACACTCACTAAAGCATGGAAAAGTTCTTTAAAAATAGAATAAAAAAGGGCATTGATAGTGTAAATAATTATTATCCATTCACTGTGCAATAATACTGGAAGATAAACCAATTATGCAAGAAAAGTTTTTTTATATTTTTTATGTAAACAGTAATTTAATTAATTAGTGAACAATAACTTATTTCCAATAAAACTGTAAGCAACATTAAACTAAAAACCAATAAACATTATTATTTTGAGTAGTTAACCAAATGATTATTATGATATTCACAAGCAAAAAGAAAAACTGCTCAAGTGTTATTACTAATGTTTGACTGATAATTTAATTGTTTCTGATTTATAACAAAGATGAAACGATCGAAAAATCAAAATCAGAATCTCTCATGATCATACACTAGATCAAACATAAAATAGATTTAAAATGCTAAGTTAAATTTCCGCGGTTTCAACTTTCAAGACCAGTTGATTTGCAATATTGTGTAAACATCATACACTGGCACCAGTAATAATTCTCTGGTGACTGTTTCTTGACAGAACTTTAAGAATCCTCAAGTTATTCACTGATGAGAGTATGATTATTATTCAGACAAAAGGTTAGTGGAAATTTTTTTCAATATGAAGTTAACATCACAGAATGACTCTGCCATGGCAGAAAGAATAATGAGTTAAGTGTAACTCTTTGGACTAATTTACAATTTACGATCATTTATATTTTTATTGTTTAATTAGTAGATAACTGTATTATTGTATTTTTATCATTGCCTTACTGTAAGCATTCAGTGGACTTATTAACTTCTGTTATGCGTTTAACTATACCTTAATTATTGCTAACTAATTATTTACTAGTTGCTTCGGTCTCTGTCACACTCATGGAGTGATCATCCTTGGAGCATGAGTGCTTATTCGGTGTGCTGTAACGTCCGGTAGTCCATGTGTATAGCTTAACGAGTTTTGAGATAGATGTTGGGTGATTGAATTGTGATAATAGCTAGCCCAGACATACGAATCTGTAGACCAACAAGAGTGAAGCATACGTCAGCCTAAAATTAACTGCGTTGGTCAAAACGCATCATTGTTCAAGACTAGGGACGATAGGCTATAGACTAAACATACGTGCGGCCAAAAAAATATTATAATTCGAATTCTGATTAGTAAATTTACCAAGTGATATCGATAAACCTCGCAGACATAAAAGAATCTAACCAAGGTGGACTCGATATCTGTAGAGCCTTGTTGTGAAACTTTACCAGTGATATGAATCTGACTCTGATAAAAATATAACCAGGAAAAAGAAGTCCTACGTTAGGATGCTTTAGATATCTAGTGCCTTTTGATGTTCAATGCTTATCTAGCTAGAGTCAGTCTATGATGCAAACCATAAATTGAATGTCTACAAGAACAGGGAGCAGTTAAATCTTGAGATAATCAACTGTTAACGTCACAATTATTTTCATACACACAGTTTCTCCTGTCGACATGTTCATATGACGCTTTTAAAAATCTCCAACATTTCCGTTTGAACTTACAAACTTGATGTGAAGTTATTTGAGCGCACACACACACTTACATACTAAACAAGATTATGCTGGTTGGTAATAAACTAAACAGGCACAAAATTGAACGACAACAAAAAAATCGACTATTTAAGCTTATTGATTGAAAATCAACCCTTCAGTTATCCACCAGTTAGAGTATTTATGCGGGTATAAGAGAATTTTGATCTTTCTCATATATAAAGATGGCATGTCAGAGTGAAAAAAGGAACTACCTGTCAGTACATACACATATTACAAACACACATGATAAAATATTTAGTTTATATCGATCGATTCGATGAATACAATTATATCTACCGACACTGTGTAGTTGTTTGAGCGGAAGAAATGGATGAGCAACTGAATAATATCATATATCCCATCCATATATGATGAGATTTTTGAAAGATTCGAATCCCGATGTAATCCAAAGTATGAACAGACAAAGTGGGCATAATACGATGAAACAACTGTCCAGTGATTCACGGTTTTCAGTGGTTATATAAAGTATAAAATTCATAAACCTCCACAAGTCCATCACACCAAGAATAATAATTCACTTGTAAGTGAATAACGTTGAGAAGTTATTTTCGAAGTTCTAGTGAGAAGCCATGATTAGTGGAGTCAAATATTACTGAGAACTGGCTAATGGTCGCACGATATTGTAAATTAATTGAGTTTAGAAATCGTACACCATCAGATGGTCCAAAGTTCAAGCACTTGGTGCGATGCCAGAAGGTCCTGGTGAGTGCCCATTGCAGAGGAGTCGGATACCAAGACGAAGCAGCTGTCCAATGCTTCTCACTTGTTAATGATAGTCTAAATAAGGTCAATTTTACATGTAAACCATAAAGCGAACATCAGACCTAGTTGTCAGGCATGTGTAGAGAATAATTTGGATTGATGTTGATTTATGTCGTGGTACAAAATCAACTGGATCAATGTTGAGTGAAGGGAATAGTGAAACTATCCTTCCGTATAACTTAAATAGGTCGATTCGAGTTTGAATCGGCAACCTTATGACTGACAGTTAAATGCATAGATCGGTAATGTTCCCGCTACACTTATTAAAATAAAAGCGTAATATTAAACATAAACAGTATGTCTGAAGTTAAAGTATAAGTAAGTTTGAACATCCCTATATATATCTATTAGCCAAAGTTGTAGCACACAATAGCACGACGAGATCAAATTAACACAATAAACAGCGGAAATATCGAAATAATTGTAGTAGAAACAACAATGAGGAAGATTAAACATGGTTGTAAAAGATAAATAAGCGTCAAAGAATATTGGAATCTAAGATTTCGAGGAAGAGAAAATCAATGCATATGAGCCACGCCAACTGTTTCCTGTTATTTCATAGAACCAAACCAAGTAATATGCATCTACCGACATGGCTCAAATGAATAGCTAGTGACTTTACACACCAGCGTCACGTTTTGGTTTGAGTGGTCTTAACTTTCTTATCATCTACTTCTACACTGACAAACATCGCACATTAAGGTAACCGATGGTCGGGTATTAATAGCGCATATCCCAATCACTTCAGCAGATAAAAGTTCACAACTTCATTAATCAATTTATCATCTTCGCTTAATACTCTATGACATAACCCTAACTGACCACTGCTTCATACCTAAAGGCATAAGGGTCATATCATTTGAAGGGAAAAAATAACACTCACTAACCTGTAAATGTGTTATTCGTAGTGTTGTCTGAGCAAAATTCCCATTACTTTCACACTTGATATTTTCAATTAAAAAATCCGGAGTAACATCATTATTACTACTAAATTTCGAAAAGCTATTATTTGATCGATCAGATGGAGCAGGAGCATAGAGACAACCTGTGTGGCCAGAACTAAAGTAGAGTTTTTGTTTTTCCACATCTGGCCAATATAAGTAACATTTGGAACGTTGAGCTTCAAGAATTCTAATGTAAAATATAAAAAATACAATTATCACCGATGCAAAAACACCCCCATTTTAACGATCTACATGTTGTCTATTAAAACTAAATGAAAATGACCTGAATTCTGAAATCTGATCGGATTAATTACCACCTTGGTTATTTCGCATGGAAAACTTAATTTTCATTATTCTAGAATCACTTAAAATACTGGGAATTTATCCTTCACCAGTAGTGGCATACGGTGTAGGATAATCATTTAACTGTAAAGCAAATATGTGTTCGCCTACGTTACAAGGAAGCAAGATTTTTACAAACAGCATGGCTCTAAAAATTCATTATAAAACTTGACTTAAGTCCCTCATAATATTCTGCAACATACTACCACCAAACAACTCAGTGACGTAAATGAGAATGCAGAAAGGTGTATATTAAGGAATTTTACACATATAGTTCCCTTTATCATCTTGAAGAATATGAGAACAAAAATTTAAACACTTTTATATGAATTCGTTTTGTTTTGTTCCGATCTCATCAGCTGCTTATAGCGTGTTATATTTAATATAAATGGAACAAATCGGGAAATATTTGTTGAACACAAGACACCAAGTCGATACCTTGAAATCTCTCAAGCTGATTAACAAACAGCCAGTATTCTGGATTTTTCTGAAGCCATCACCATCAAGCGTCCGAAATTTGATTTATGTCTAAAGAGATATTAGTTAAGCTTTTCTGTATTTTGATAATAGAAACATTTCTTCCAGGTTTTTAATGGTTACCTTTAACTTGAATTAGTTCGTGATTTAAATAAAATTCTGTTTGAATCTTTCAATTGACCGCATTATTGAGTTATTTTTCGACTTTCTTTTAGATCAGTAATCTTATCTTAATTGAGTGAACTTTACTGGTTCTATTATTACTGACTATCAGCGTTTTTTCATTATGTGACCACCTACTTCTAGTTATTTGGTCTTTTATTACTATTAATTTTATAGAATATTTGCAATACATTATTCAGTCTGTTAAGTTTATTTACATCCTAACCATATCATATCATACTGATGTGTTCAAAACGGCCTCTAACTAAACTTATTTAGGTACATACTTTCAACCCATTTCGTAATTATAGTTTTTAAATATTACAGACTGAAAGAAGCTGATGAGGAGAAGCAGATGAAACAAAATAATTCAAGGTATTCTGCTTAAAAAACTTTGCTTTCGCTCTATTCACGATAAAGAAAACCATTGCGTATGAAAACTAAATTTGCCTATATTACAAAACAAAATAAACGGCTTATATATATATATATATATATATATATATATATATATATAGGAGTACATTGCAAACATGACTTACCTTGTGATCATGACAATAATAGGACAGTGATAATCCCAAATCATCTGCCAAAAATCACCTACAGTTTCCGATAATGGACCTAAATTTTAAAGGAAGAAACAAAAATAAATTCAGAGCGTAAGAAAAATAATATAATCAAAAAGAAACATATGACAGAAGATTGATTACAATGTGATAACTATGTAGTCGAAGAAAATACCATTGCATTTAATGTAATATTTCCATGATAGTTCTACTGTGAATCATAAACAAATGAGGGGTGTAAAATTACCCAGTAAGATCATAAATGAAATTTCTAGTAAGTTTAAAACAAACTAATAAGGAGAATATATTTTCTAGATGATCAGGAAAGTGAAAATGTTGAGGGTAACCTGTGACTTCTTAAATTGCTTGACTACTTAAAGATAATCAGGGATGAGCTTATAACTATTTTCGTGACAAGTAAATAGGCACAGATAGTGTAAAGACAACAAATAATACTTTATTTGAAGTCACGATATCTAAAACTGAAGAGGAAAACCCAACTTCTGGAATGTGGAGGTGATGAGTCGGGTGATTTTAGGCATTTGTTGTCTTATCGTCACATAGGACTGAGAACTGAAAACTTTGACAGACTATTTCAAGTAAGCGATTTATTCACTTATTTGAAGCCACCAATTAAATATCTTCATGAATATCAGTCCCGCCCCCAATTATATACATGTTGATTCCGCCTGTGGTATAAAGTGTCGTAGAGATTCTTAGTCTTACTGGATTTTTAAGGTTGGTTCGATTAAGCATAAGAGCGTGTCATTATGAATGGCGACCATAACGGTGGTATTATTTAAAACATAGAAAACTACTAGAAACAAGTTACAAGTACGAGTTCATCAACTTAGCTTAAAGGTATATTTTTGTGTGTGAATGGCCCCCAAATGCCCTGGTACAGCCGAGAGTGGGGAGAGACCGCTCTCCCTCTCGAAATGCTCTCACACGGCCACGCGTATATAGCCTCTGCCAGGGAAGTCCTACTCACTGCCTTCTCGTGGCGAGGGTGTTGTTAACAAAAATGAGAGGACGAAAAGCGAATGTCCGGCGCTTTAACCGGATTCCAAACCAATGGTGCACATGGGCTCCAGTATCCTGCGGGAACAAATGGCGTATGAACCAATTGTTGGTCACCGGCTACCATGGGACTGCATCTCCCTACGATGCTCCACTGCCTTGTGGATCAGACCTTCAGGTCGAAGGCTCGGGGTGTAGCCTCCTAAGAAAACCACCTGCTTCGGTTTGGGCACCCGGGTAGTATCACAGCCCTCACACATATCGAATGAGATTTGTGTGGCACATATATATTTGGTGCCTCTTTGTACCATTATCTATGTGTTGAAATAAAATAAATAAATAAATAAAATGTGCGTGAATGAGAGAGAGCTACTAATACTAGCTAATTGTCTGATACAAGACAATAACTTGTGATGGTAACCATTCTCTTTCTCAATGTTCAGTAAAAGTGCAATATCATGCATTTTAAAGAATTTTTCTGTTCATTTGGTAGGTCGGTAATGCATAGAAGAGTGTAACTCATAGGAGAATACATTTGAATCATTGAACGCTATCTACAAACTCCTTTCATAAACGCGCTACTGTAGCGCATTTGAATTTTCCGGATGAAAAAGTAAATAAAAGGAAAATGAAAACATAAAATGAAATCCTCAGTAAAAATAATACTTTAATATGCAGCACTTAATTACTTAATAAACAAAAGAATGCTAAATATTACACGCATATTGAAAATTGAGGAGTCACGCTGTAAATTCACAGACATGTATTCACCCAAAAAATGGATTAGGATTTAAAGCCTGAGGTTCTATGGTTGAAAGTCAAATACTTCGATATCAGTAAGTTACCTTTTCTGCACACTAACCTTGATAATTAACGTCTAAATGGTGAAAACCTTTAAAAAAACACTCATAATGCAACTACATGGCAGAGATCATAAATTATAAAATAAAAATAACCTTAAATTGACTTGAACCATTTCAATAAATCTGATTATTTTGTAATTATCATCAATACAACCAATGACAGGTATTTTTTTTAACCAACAATCCGTTTTTAGAAGTAGACTAACAATCAGTTAGTTAATTAATTAAATCTTAAGTATATAAAAAATAACCAACTGAATTTTGTAACTGATTATAAGAAGCAATCAGTATTAAAAGCTAATTTCTGAATATTTTTACCATGGTCAGAGTGTTAGTCCATCAATCAATCAATAAGCAGCGATGAGCAACGGTGAACTTGAAATATATATATACATAGGTTCAAGTTGTCACATCATATGGCCTAACTATAGCGAGATGAAATAATTGGAACAAATACAGAGATACTAGTACAAAAGATTAAAAATAGGAAATATAATAATTCAAGAAGAAACAGTGGATACATAGAATAGCAAAGTATAAGATCATTTTAAAAATTAGAAGGAAGACAAAGAACGAATGTGTTTGGACTATTGCAACGTATTCTGAGACAAATCACCAAATTTCTCTGGTCATCGCAGATCCCAACCAGGTAGCAGTCTGCATGTTATGTCCACCGGACCTGTTAATATCAAGTGACTAAATCGCCAATTAGAATGCCGAGTTATATGACCTTAGCACTGTGCAAACCAAAGACACGTTAACCAGTACAAGTAGCCTAGAGTCATCTCTGAGTCCTTTTTGTTTCATTTTGCTTAACCCTGTACGCTTGAGTTCAGAACACAATTTCAGCTTCTACTGTATGAATCATGTATTTCAGATATAAGCAGTTCATATACAAGCAAATCAGACCGCATTATATCACAAAATAGAAAATAACAATTACACAGCATCAGACCAAAAGTGACTGTGAGATACTGTAACTTACACATTGGGGACAACTTAAGATTAGTAAATCGTATAACAGTAACCAATAGGTCGAATGAAGACTCATAATATGAGAAATAGAAAAAATTTATATAATCTAGCTACGTGATAGTTATATACATATAATAACAGTTCATAAATACTTTCCAGAAGTTACCCGTAATTTAATCTACTTTGGATACAACACTGCCTACCTACCAATATGTCACAGATCAATAATTAATGACTTCATGAACTGATGCCAACTCGATTTTGTCACATCTAACTTTATGCTATAAAGGGATACATATGAAGCGATAGTGAACTCTTGCAACCGTCCGACCTGAGGTTATTGCATTCATTTTTGAGGTATGGTTACTCAATAATTAAGTTGGTGTATTTTTGGATTCTCCTGCTTGTAAGCTTTCTTCCGATATTCACTCTGTTGTTATATGTTGTAACGTAATTAATTTACCGTTAATTTATTACAGAACTAATATAAAGTTCTTTTTAACTCATGACGTAGTATGACCACCATGTAATTTCTGATTATATTGATATATCGTCAAGATTTTACTCTACTTTATTGCATGAATGATTCAGAAATCTAAACTGTCTAATTAAAAGTTTCTGCCAAATTTATTGTAATCTGTTCTGGCTTTCGGGTGAGCAACCGTGGAAAAACTACATTCTCAACCAATAGTCATTAAGTATTGATGTTTTCTAATTGTCATTGTGTTATTGGTTAGCAGGAGGCTGTTAATACTAGATAGACAATTGAGGTGAATTAATCAGTACTCGAACAAGACCAATGCAGTTGCTCTTCAGTTACGATCCGATCACAAGGGCATCAGAAACAACTCAAGAAAAGTTCTTTTTCTTTCCGTCACATCACTTTGCTGCCGAAAACCATCCACCCAATGTTACAATCTTTTTTCTAACATGATGTCACGTACGGAAACGCTTTAAGAGAACTGAGAAAGAGTATGGACCACATCATTATGATCAAATCATACCCAAACAAAAATGAGTGCGTAGAGAACCTCACTTTTATAAAACGTACCTGAATCAGGTACCACACACATAAACAGATTATAGAAGAATACAGTCCTCTCAGCATTTATAAGACTATATGATTAAACATGTATAATATAACGTAGGCTTCAACAACACTATGTATAATATAAAACACGGCAAGTCAATATTTTTTGTCTATAATCTAGGTATAGCAATTAAAGTGTCTTTTTGAAATCTGTAACACACAACTGCATAATACAAGCCTGCATAAAGGAAAATCTGCATTTTAAATTCAATAGAACAGACAATAGTTTTGGTGTTACTGATTCACCGATAAGATCAGTCAGAATAAAATAAACAAATGCAGAAGAAAAACTTCTGTAAAAGTTGAAAATATAAACAAATCCATTTTAAAAATCAAAAATGATGAATATGGTCAATTAATCAACAATGAAAAACGGTATCATTAGTACAATGAGCAATTATACACAACAAATAAATGTCACTTACTAATTGAGGAGGTGTAGTAGAGATCGGTTTAATTTGTGGGTAATGAGTCGTTAAACATTGGTCTCATTTGAAATAAATTGAAAGGCAGAAAGCACTAAACAGCTCTTTCGTCCTAGCATAGGACTTCTCAGAATTAAGCACAAACAAACCAGCCAGTGAACAAACTAAAGATCCTCAGTTTTCACGATGAACACTTAGTCATTGGAACTAATAAGCTGATTGAGGTTAAGACTGTAAATTTGTTGCCGACCAAATGGTCCTTATAATTAAGTGTCCTGAGTTTAGACATTGGTGTGACCGGGGGTATGTACAGATGGTCAACCAATCAGTTACTCATATGCAACGTAGAACCTGAAACATTGGATTAAGTTGCCGCACCACATTAACCCAGAATGATAAATTTATATCAAGACAAATCGCTGAGTAGTATAAATAGTATGAGTAAAAGCAGTCGTATAACAGTAATAGGAAAAAGGAAAATTTTTATAAGATTACAGGTTTCAGAAACTAAAAATAAAGAGCGAATGTTAATGCACCACTGAAAACTATCCTGAGCCGTCACCCAAAGTCTCTAAACATTGGTTACGATAGTCACTCACAGATAAAGAGTTTCATGATGGATACTTCCCGATTTTCCACGTTATCTCAACTGAGATCAATCTTTGACGAATGCTTTCTGCAAGATGATCATCGATTAATTTTTAAAGCATGTTATATGCAGAATCTTTATTTAAATATTCGTCAACTTGAACTTTTTCGATAACATTTGATACATTTTTTGTAGTAGATATAGATGTTGGATTTCCAATCCCAAATATTATATTTGTCAGACAACGTTACATTTAACTTATGGAACATTACTTACTTACTTACTTACGCCTGTTACTCCCAATGGAGCATAGGCCGCCGACCAGCATTCTCCAACCCACTCTGTCCTGGGCCTTCTTTTCTAGTTCCATCCAATTCTTGTTCATTTTTCTCATGTCTATCTCCATTTCTCGGCGTAATGTGTTCTTTGGTCTTCCTCTTCTCCTTTGACCTTCAGGATTTCATGTGAGGGCTTGTCTTGTGACGCAGTTGGGTGCTTTCCTCAATGTGTGTCCTATCCACTTCCAGCGCTTCTTCCTGATTTCTTCCTCCACTGGGATCTGGTTTGTTCTCTCCCACAGTACGTTGTTGCTAATAGTGTCCGGCCAATGGATCTGAAGTATTTTGCGTAGACAATTGTTGATAAACACCTGTATTTTCTGGATGATGGCTTTTGTAGTTCTCCAGGTTTCTGCCCCATACAGTAGAACTGTCTTGACATTTGTATTGAAAATCCTGACCTTGGTGTTGGTTGACAGTTGCTTTGAGTTCCAGATGTTCCTCAGTTGTAAATATGCTGCTCTTGCTTTGCCGATCCGCGCCCTCACATCTGCATCAGATCCACCCTGTTCATCAATGATGCTGCCCAAATATGTAAAGGTTTTTACATCTTCCAAATCTTCTCCGTCAATTGTGATTGGATTGGTGCATTCTGTGTTGTATCGGAGAATCCTGCTCTTCCCTTTGTGTATATTGAGACCTATTGCTGCTGAGGCTGCTGCCACACTGTTTGTCTTCTCCTGCATCTGTTGTTGCGTTTGGGATAGAAGGGCCAGATCGTCTGCGAAGTCTAGATCATCCAACTGCATCTTAGATGTCCATTGTATCCCGCGCTTTCCTTCAGACGTTGACGTCTTCATGACCCAGTCGATCACCAGGAGAAAGAGAAAGGGTGAGAGTAAGCAACCTTGCCTAACACCGGTCTTCACTTTGAACGACTTTGTCAACTGTCCTCCATGCACGATTTTGCAGTGTAATCCATCATATGAGTTCTGTATGATATTGACTATCTTCTGAGGCACGCCGTAGTGTCGAAGAAGTTTCCATAGTGTTGTTCTGTCCACGCTATCAAATGCCTTTTCGTAGTCAATGAAGTTGATGTAGAGTGATGAATTCCATTCAATTGATTGTTCCACAATGATCCGTAGAGTTGCGATTTGGTCTGTACACGATCTATCCTTACGGAATCCTGCCTGTTGGTCACGAAGTTGGGCGTCTACGCAGTCCTTCATCCAACTTATGGAACATACAGTAGACAATTTCATCGGTACGTACGTTATTTACTTATTTCTATAATATGCGAAACATCAAAAGACTATAAACTGCTACTCATCTTGAAAAACTGAATAAGACATCTTTTATTATTACTATTTAAAAGATGGAAATGTTTTTCCGATTGTTCTATGATTCAAGAAAAAATGTTATGGATTTTCAACAATCTTGAGATTTTGTTTCCACTCAATGGATATATGCATGATGCTCATAAGATATAACTGGTCATTTTCAGAAATAAATGATACACACAAGCAAAACGTTGAGCCATAAAAAGATTTCAGTGACATCTAAGAGTTAGAAACACAGCTTAATAACTTTCCAATTTTAATAAATCAAATAACTAATGAATGTGACATATTTCTAAAATTATGATAAAAAGGGTGATTAGTCGAACCACAGAGACAAATTAAAAACACTAGCACTCAAGATAAATAGCTTATAGAGTAGTTTTACACATTACATAGAATTTTACTACACAAAGATATTTGTCTTAAAACAGTAGTAAAATTATCAATGCGAATATGTTATCTGATAGTATTTATTGATGAATTTATTGGTAGTGCCTATATGAGGCTCTGTATGGGAGTTGAGAACATATAGTTACATTTCTCCCATCTCTGAATTAAAAGTGTTCCAGGCTAGTACCTTTCTTTAATTTCAATATCAGTTTAAATTGAAAAAAATTATATGCTATGAGTGACGAAACATCTAATAGGGAGTAGAATCTTCTAAATGCTAATAAAAAGTGGAAACCATATCCGCATTCTGACATAAACTTTCGACATAGTCACAAATTATTTATTTATTTGGACGCAAAACCATCGCTGTGATATTGCCCGGGCGCCCAAACCAAAACAAGCGGTTTTCTCAAGGGGTTATACCCTGATAAGATAGCTAAGTATATTTTCCAAGTAGATGAACTGGCTAAGGTGAATAGTGGCGTGAGTAAAGGTTTTGTCTTTGTTGTTATCTATAGAATAATATCATAAAATATAAGTGATTTACTCAATTCACCTTCCTAATAAAAGTTCACTTTAATGATGTTGGTCCTTCTCTTTCAATGCATGAATTAGTGTCTTAATGGTCAGAGGGCTCGACTTTCAACCACTGGATTGTAGGTTCGAGTCCCTCCCAACCAATTTCGGTTCGGACAGCTGGTTAATATCACTAGTTGCCACACAAAATGTGCATCAGAGTCCGGTGCTTAATAAACAAGTTACCTCACTCTTCCTCCTAATAATGCTCCAAGCGGATAATGTACGTACAAATATTTGAAGCGACTTTTCTCGTCACTGATTATCATTTCAAGATAGTTGATTGGTTCGAAAAAAAATAATGTGAAAGGAGTAGGTGTACACAATTAATGGTTATCGATGTGTGGTCATTGAAGGTGAAATGTGGTTGATTACTGAGTGTGGAAAAACAAATACAGACTACTCACTATTAAATGCGATTTCCTCTTCACTAATAATTGTACCTTGGACTCAAAATTTGTATGGACAATTAGTATTGCTTTAGATAAATCCAGTGTCCGACTTACATACTACGTTTCTTACTATATTCGGTCACGAATCGCGTATTTGGTACAACTGGATTCCAGTCTGTGTATGGGTCGCATTATTATATAATAGTAGTAAATCGTGGCTAATGAAAATATTTCTATTTTGTCTTTATGTCAACAATGTAAGGTAAACTTGGCAGAAAAAGTTGTGAGTCCTCTTACTGACTTTTACAGACCATTCTAGACAAATGACTACTCCCAGAGAACATTCAGTGGAAATATAATTCAAGTTAAATACTACGCAAAATGTAAACACGGAACGAACCAACATTATTGATGACTAGTGATTAAATAGATGCTAATTGATAAACATTGAGTTTAAAGAGTAGTAGTAGTAGTAGTATCAAACTGTTGATTATCTGTAAAGTGATGGGATTAATTTTTTAAAATTTAACCACAATCTGTGTGACAACTTGAGTCAATGCATTTTGTGTTTCAAGCTTAACACTGGCTGATCAACTGACTAACTCTTTGACTATATACGATTTTTTTATGAATAACTCAGTTTACAAACTTTTACAAGATGTCAGTTAGAAAGGGTGAGTACATTTTTCTGTCAGAATGTCTCAGATCAATCTCTCCTTATATCTATCTATCTATTAGAATTATTCTACCAAACGGAATGTGAATCATGTGACCGGACACAATAAACACATTAAAATCACAGAATTCTTAATAGATATTCTAAGATAAATAAATGAAGAATCTATTAATGATATCGTATATCATCATTAGTATAATCAATTAGTTACGCTAATTTTATGGGTAGTTTATTGATTGATTGTCGGGATCGAAATGAAGAACTGTTGCATTGATTTAAACTAGTCAATTTAATTTCTAGCAATAGACGTATGCATCATCAAATTACATTATCCAGATTTTCTTAAAAAGAAAAACATTCACCATGCCCGATTTTCTCCACATTATTATTTATGATTTAAATTGAATAGTCGACCAGAAACAGCACTGCGATAACATATTTAAAAAGTCTATTAGAAAAAGGTATGTATTCGAAAGGCCATAGAGAGTTTTCTTCTGATTTAGTAAATCTGATATGTGACATCAGACTATGAAGTCAATGACTGTTGATCTGATTCATATTGGTAGTGAATAAAGTTTTTTACTCATAAAAAAATATATTGAATCATAGTATATGTATTGTGTTATAGAAATTTTTTGTCACCGCATAGGACGCATGCTACATATCCGGAACAACTACCAATTCTGGAAACCAACGTTGTATGAGATTGGAGTATGTTGATTAGTAGCTACCAGTGGGTAGATTTAGATATATCATCATTTCATGAATTCATTGACCGGTGATCTTAGCTGAGTCAATAGGTTTCAACTTCCGGGTTACGGCCAAACTAATGATAGTAGTCAACGGTTCCAAATATTGGATTAAAATGGTATAAAGTCGGTTACAATTACTATTCTCTACCTTCTTGCAAATACTCGGTCGGGTGTTATTTTTTATTTTTTCAAAGTTATCCTTTTGAACTGAGCTTCTCATATTTCGATTTCCCTTGTCGCCGATATAATTTCTCACCTTATGCTTTTCATTCATCTTGATTTTTCTTCTCGGCTGGTCTAAAGTGAGGTAACTTGGACCGTTGAACGCTGGTTTCACGTCTTACGGTGATGAATTACCGACTGAATGAAGCGAGAGTAGCGGATCTAAGAGAGTTGCATGAATTTCGATCCATAATAGTGCGATATACAGATATATATGCAAACATAATAATGACTTGGTTAAATACATAAAAAATAAACTTTGTTGAACTGTAAGCATCTTCATCGTGGCTTATATTAGTACTTCATTTGCGACTTCACTAATAAAACAAAATTTAAAGTAAGAAGCTGCAAATAGTTTTGCTAAAAACATAAAAAAATTATTAGATGGAGCAATCACAAATAAAACTTTACCACATACCCTGAGTACAGATAAAAGCGTTTTTCTGTCGATAACCATCGACCCAATTGGCATGAATATAATTTTTTACTAGTGTATGCGCTGATATTGGTGCTGAATGTGTACGATGAAGACGTGCGGTAAGGGATTTCTGAGCATTACATAATACTGTAGGATCTTCATCACTACGACTAGTGGAAATTCTAGAAATATCCGACGATAATAATAATGGTTGGAGATAAACACGAGTTGCATCATGACAAATCACATCACAATAACGATTTTTACTCCGATTAAGTATATGCCTGAAATATTTGTGTGAATAACAAAAAAACGACAGGAAAATGAAATATAATAAAAAATAAAACGAATATGACCGGATAACATTCTGTTTAGATACAAAAACATCTGATTAAAAAGCGTATCAATTTACGCTGGTAGATTTTCCGTCAGTTCAACTAAAGTCAACGACAATATACCAACATCAGAGAAAAGATTAAACTAAATTATAAAAAAAGTTAAAAAGGATTAACAAAACCCAGAACTGACAGTATGCTATGATACTGTGGAGATGACTGAAGGGGAAATAAGAAATGACAACATTTACACTTCTGTAATTGATGTTAACCTCTATCAACTAACGTCTTAACTAATATTATTTGTCATGCAGATTCTGACGATGTTTGTAAATCTATAGATTGTCCAAAACATTAATTAATAATTTCCTCATGAGTCGATAGATATAACTTAGTCAGGTATATTTTAAGCTTATATACCAGCAAGTAGTGTTCCGAAGTAGGTGCTGGTTGCGACTGTGTAACATTATGTCTCAACTTTCCCAGATGACCGAGTGTAGACACGTATTAGGTTTTGATTTACGCTACTAGACTGAGGGCCGTTTTCGTAGCATTTGAAAAAATATTCAGAAGATAAAAATACTTTTCTTTAAAAAAAACCAGAAAACCATCAAAAAAGAATATCGAAAGAAACAATGATAAGAGTGCAATATAGAAATGAGCCTGAGCGATTCGTAAAGAAAAATCGTAACAAATTCCAAGTCAGTTCCTAGCCAATTGGAAAGAAGTCTTTGCAAATATGAACGGTTAATTGAAAAAAGAAACGATAACAATATGGCAAAGATTTTATATATTAGAAGAATCTATTGGAACCGTATATAAGTTTATGGTTAGGGTTTTTATCATGGATTCATATCAGTTAAAATGTAAAAATGCTTTGTAGCCACAAAGATGAATCGATTTCACTTGCAAAAGTACAAGAGACGCTATCTCATTAGTACACTCACAGAATATAGTGTCAGTAGGTTAAAATTTAGGGACCGTTGATTTGTCTATTATGTACAATCTACAAAGATAGAATAAAGCTCCTGATAGATTTAAAATTATCATTTTTTGCTCTGTGTTGGTAAAAATTAATCTTTCACAATCAATTGCAATGTTTTGAGTAGCATTAAAAGGTATTTCTACTGTTCTTTATACTTGATATTTTAATCTGTCGTAAAAAACCTAGAAGCTGTATTCACGATATCTGATTGGCTCGTCATTATACATTATAATTTAACTAAAATAATATACCCAATAAAAGTGGCATAAATTTGAGCTTTTTTTTTCAGTTTGTTAACATCCACCTACACTACTTATTTGTTTAGTTATCTATCATAATTCACATAATTTACATTTGACAAGTCAACTCTTCAAATAAAAATAGAATGTCTAGTTAATCTCAAAATATTTATAGGTGGGTGGATGGACTGATTACAGTGCTGAGGGCAATTGTCTCAACGTTATATATATATGTCATGTTTTTAGTCGTAATTACACTACTAATATTAATGATGAATACTTTAACATCAAGGATTAAAAAAGAGAAAACTTATGAGAGAAAAATTAATATGACACAATATGAAAGGTATGCATAAGTTGTTGTAAGAGAAAATTCTCATATTCAATAATAATAACAATAATAATAATAATAATAATAATAATAATAATAATAATAATAATAGTAATAATAAAAATAATAATGCACATTCTAATCTGAAAGACGTATTTATTCCAAAATTTAAGCGTATCAAATCTCAAAATAAAGAGTAAAGCATAATAAAACAGTGTTTATTATATATATATTAAGAATGCCTTCGACAACATGAGTGTAGCGGTTTCTTCGGAAAGAAACAGTCAAAGACGTCATGAAATCGAAAATTAACTATACCAGACATGAAGACAATCCATGGGATGTGTTATGAATGACTGTCACAAAAAATAATCAAGAAATTTATTGCTTATTTAACATGTCAATTATTATTAAGGTTGTATACACCAAAGATAGATCGCAGTTGGGATACCATTAAGAATTAGAATGCACTGGAGAGCTAAATATGGGACCTCCGACCAGCTAACATTTTAACACAGTGCACACAATCTGAGTTCACTTAGACTAGTGTTTACATTCCAAATCGATCGATAGAATTTGATTAACACTAAAAGACTAGACAAGAATGACGGTGATTATCACTCTATCATCAATCGATTGTAAATATTGCGGTCCTACAGGAGATTAAACAAAGCAGTGGATTCTCATAATGTAAAGCATAGTGAAGCGGGTTGTAATCTCACATTGAAAGTCATTCTCAATATTGCAGGTATGCCTTTCTGATGAGTCCCGGCTATCATGAAATCTGTAGTTAGCAAGGCTCCCTACCAACTACTTGTAAACAACAAACAGCGTTAATTTGTTAAACTTACGATACGTCGTAAATAACAATCATAAAAAATGATAGTCTCCCTTGTAATTAATTCTCAACTAATTTTTGTCACTAAAATCACCAATCCCTTAGAAGCTGTCTTATACAACAGTTACTAAAGTAGGGCCTAGCACTGATGCGCAACGATGCAAGTCCTTAAACCGCATACCATGCAGAAAGTAAATCCAACAGAACAAAAACTGAAGGATGAAAAAACATTACTAAACAATTGTGAAAAATAATTACTAGAAAAATGTAGCCCGAAAGACAGATGAAATCGAAGAACAAAAGGTATGGAGTAATTCACAATTGTCTACACATTTCTACACCAATCATATCTATGCACAGAATAACTTTATCGATGCATAGCAGCATATGTCAATATAGTAATGCCATGAATTTTTAAAACCCTGTCGCTATTTTGGCTGTCATTACATACATCAGAGTGGACGACTACTTGCCATAGGTAAAGATATATGAACTAGTAATCTCAATTGATTCATGTTCACAATCTTTTTGAGACTAAACTTGACATTAATCTCTCGATGGGTCATTCCATTAATTGGACGAAATAACTTGTTCCTTTTTTGAATAGCTGTAATTTTTAGATATTCTTCAATCTCAGCTGCCATGACTCACAGGGTGAGGGCAGTAACCAAATGGTCTTCTGAGCAGTATACTCGACCTTCGAACATACATCCATCGTCGGATCGATGGACAGGCATAAGCTATCGCATGACAAACAAACAGATACTCGTAGTAAAACTTTTTTCTGGCAAATAATGAGCGAAAAACAACACAACAACCCTTAAATGAAACAGATGTACAGAACACCAACGTTAAAAAGAAATATCTTAGATCCTTCATATATCAAATACTAAGTGACTATGACTAGTTTTCTTATAATAAAGTGAGACATTTGATAATGATAACACTTCAACTTTTATTATGAGAATTTCTATTCGGTAATTAATCATATATGTACATGAATCCATCGTATACACTACAGCCGTATTTTCTATTGTTAACAAATACAATTTTAAATAACATGTGTACATAGAGGAAGATCAGTGGGAATCACTCTAACCCATTAGTACACATAATAACAATAAATGAAATACTCACTTGAAAGCAATATGCGTATATTCGTTCTTCAACTGAACAAGTGCACTATACTCTGAATTAAGTCCAGTCAAACCAACATTTTCAATGTGTTGTACTAGTTCATTTGGATTCATCCAATGTTCTTGCATAATAATTGTTTGAGTCACTTCCAAGTTATCGTCATCATATTCATCCTCTTCCTCCTCCTCTTCCTCATCATCATCATCATCCTCTTCTATTTCTTCTTCGGGTTCGAAATCATCATCGTTAACAACTACATCGATTACGCCTTCATCATTTCTAGCTGAAACATCATCACTGCTAGATGTTGTACTATTGATTTCAATCATATTTGCGTCAATTTCATCGTATATCCTTTGTCTTTCTACTGATGACGATAATGATGCATCTCGATTATTATCACAGCATGTATTATGATTATTATTGATTGGTGAAGCAATAGACACTGTTTTACTGTTAGCGGTATGATGCAGAGGAGAAGAGGAAGAAGAAGGAGCTTCTTCGCCCCATTCATTGCATTTATCATAGCTTGAAGAAACCAGATAACTTAATGATGAGGAATTCAATGGAGTAATTTCTGTAGTTTGACTATTATTCATTGATGATGATAATTCAACAGGATATATTAAATCATGGTCTTGGTGAATTGACTCCCCTTGAGGGCGACCAATTGCCCAATTAGGGATAACATCTAATGACGGATGACTAGTGTTAACTAGTCTGGAATCAAACGCTTTTTTGTTGATGAAATAGGAAAAGCAAGAAAGAATAAATAGAATGAAACGGAAACAAAATAGTTTATATTACGGACTGACTGTAGTTAAACAACCGCTGGAAATCAGGATGAACAGGACAGCTAATCCATTTTAATATATGGAGCCGCTCTTCCTCAGTAGTGTGCGTCAACCACCCCACCAGAGATCGAACTCAGTACTTCCAAGTCTATATGCGAGCAATTAACATTTAAATCGCTGAGCTTAAGTAATATATGTTTATCATATACATGTTGGCCAACGAACATCAGATAGACCATAACAGGGAAGCAGAGAAAATATTCCAACGTTAAATTATTCAGATGGAAAAGTTACTGATCTATATAATATAACATAAAACTTATTCACTTGTGCAATAGTTAAACTTTCGGGCCAACTGTTTTCCAATTACACAATTACTGACATATATTTGCCTGTCTTACATCTATCTTAATAATGCTACATAACGCATTTACGAGTTTTCATGAAAAGTCTATGAACCATATCAGTATGGAGAAGCGGTTGTATATTTTTATCCTTGTCTATCTCTCATCGATGTGAGAGATATCCGTCTATATAAACGTATGTATTCTGTAGGTATTTTATTTTCTGAGCTAGGTGGTTTATTTATGAAGCTTTAACTGACTTTATACATAAAATAAGAAAGTTTTTTTTTACCTGAAACAAGTTGCTAGTTAATTGTGAAGAAATTCTGACAGCCCACGATCTTGGTTACAAAATCAATGAAAACATCACGACTAAACTGTTAAGCCAAAGGAATAAAACATACCAAATTCCTCAACCTGGGTAACAAATATTGTCCATCAGATCTATTTTTAATACAATGTCACGCCTTTAGAGAACCAGGGTCCGTTTATACACGTATATTTCTTCTGATACTCGTAAAATTAACAGCTGAAGCTTTACTACTATAGTCATTGAACTGTGTTACACAATAATTATACCTGAAAAATGTGGTCTACTAACTTGGAGTTCACAACAAATACGAAATCTTTTCTTATAGCTAGTCCATGATGGGCTTCTCAGTTAAATGATTTGTATAATGAATTAAAAACCTTAGAGAAGGTATATGAAATGAATCTAACCAAAAGCAAAATATAAGTGATAAAAGGTAAGATAAATGACAATACAAAATTGATTTACCTGGAACTCTTGGCAACATATGAACTGGATTTTTATTATTACAAATAGTTCGATCTCCTATTTCATCTTGAGCAAGAGGTGCAACTTTATTTTGGACGGGAGCTAAACAAATAGAATCTGAAATTTCAGCATCTGCAAGAGGTAAGTCATGATCCTTAGAAGTTGTTAAACCTGAAACTTCATGGATAACTTTTGACATTCCACGTCTTTCGAATTCAGTTGTTTTCGGTAAACCTGATGTTATTAACTGGTTTAAGAGTTTATCACTGATTGGACTGCATTTTGTAGAATGTACACCAGTAGAACCAGTCGAGAAGAAAGATGTATTGGATGAACAAGATGAGTTAAGTGCATGAGAATTCCCATAATTAAAACCAGTTTGTTTGGTATCAAAAGCTTCGGATATTAAAGGTGAGTTGATAGAATTGTCAGCAGTAGGAGTTACAGGGTCAATACGTACCAATGATACGTCTTCATTAAAACCCATAACATGGTTCCCTGAGGTGATTGCATTTGAAGAACGACTATTTGTATGATCAGATATGAGAGTGGAATAGTTCAAATTCACAGTATTTGACAGTTGTGGGCGTTTAGCAACTGTCGGAGGAGTAGGCGTCCCACCATGTTCTGAATTCGATAATGTTTGACGTTTATGATCATATGAACATGCTTCCGAGTAATTTGAAACGGATTTTGGATTGAAATTCTGGAATACAAATTAATTGAGAGGAAAAGATATCATTTTTCATTAAGGAATTCCACAAAATTTTGTGATTTCTTAATTGTTAACAAAAAATATGTCGTGAAAGCATAAAGGTTAAGAATTATTTGATTGTTAATTATACGCATCAATTAAATTCCGTTTACATTCGCTTTCTCTTTTTGATAACATAGCATATGCTATAACATATGCTATAATGTACATATACCATAATGAATTTCAAGTTAGTTTTGATAGTAGGAGATTTGTCGAGACGTTTAAATTTTGTAATTTAAATCACGGAAAGCTTTCAATTGGATAACTATCTAAAACCAGTAATTATGGTTATTTAACTAAGGTCGGTTCGCGATGTAAACTATGAAAGGTCAACAACCTTAAAAACCCCTTTACATTCAAAATAATCATGTGTTCACTAATAAATAATCTTGATAGGTGATTCGCAGTTTTAGTGAAAAAACGATAATGTTGAGTGTAATGCAATTTACCGATCAATGCCAATGGAAGATGGTTGCGCAATATCGTGAAATGAATGAAGTCAGAAATATAAAAACTTGAATGAGGACTCAATAGTCTGAAAGTTAAAAACTCATTGAGAAGCCTGAATTGGTCCTGGGTTCGATCCCCCGTGAGATTGTGGATGTGAACTGCTGAACCTAATGCTAGGATAAAACAACTGTCCGGTGCTTAGTTATTTCCAATCATTATCTGACCAAGGTTAGTCTGTAACTTAAACAATATGATTGGATGACCGAAGTTAGAAAGTTAATCTCCCTGTAACGTAGTGTTTTTAAGTTATCGTACTGGATTTGAAACATGAAGTTCCTGGGTTTGATCTAGTGGGTGAGGTCGTATATTCGCATTGCTGGTGAGTTCTAGACTGTAACGTAGTGCCTGTCCTTTGTACTGTGTATAATCTAGTGGTTCAACAGTTGATATCACAGTCCTCAACAAACTTAAAATTCTGACTGAATTAGTGAAATAATTTTATTAATCGATTTTTTAAAGCTTTGTCCAAAAAGAATACTGTCTAATCAATCAAACTCTTTTCCATGCACGCACATACAAACAGACAAACACATATTAGTGCGTACATACACAGCAGCGAGCAACTGTGTATAAACAAATATTTACAGATAAGAGGAGTATGCAGTGGAAACTTGTTCTAGAACGAAATTGAACAGCATATATATATATATATATATATATATATATATATATATATATATATATATATATATATATATATATATATATATATATATATATATATATATATATACTGTCACATTCACAGTTTTACCTATCTTGCAGGGGTGATTGATTGGTTGGTTAGATAAAATCGGTTATGGTTGTTTAAATTGCTTCAGTTACCAGACACTTGCCATTATTATTACAGTTATCAGTGCTGGTGTTATTGTGTTTTCTGCAGACAAAATTCACTAGTACATTTCCTAGTCTTCTCCTTTTCTCTACTACTCCATATGTATCACTAGGCCTCAAAGCTGAGTATATATTATGTAAAACTGATTGGTCATTGAGTAGTGAATAAATTTGTCATGTTTGTCTAGTCTTTTAGTCCCGGTCAAATTCTATCTCTCCCACGGGGAGCATCAGTTTCCTTAAAAGTCTAGGTACACCTTAACGACAGGTGCCAACTAGTATAAGACATAGGTCAAATAGGATTAATATCCCACTACTTCCAACTAATTAACACCTCAAAATAGTGTACACAATGTCCGGTCAATTAACCAATGGTTACATAGTAACTTGATCAATACTAAATGATTAGACAAATATGACAATGATCACTACTCAATGATAAATTAATTGTAAATATTGGAGTCCTACAGATTACTTATCGTCCGAATAGGTTAACGTTAACATCTCGGACAGTGAAGCTGGGAGATGAGGGTCTGAGTCCCATACCGAACATCGATCCCTACAATATTGCAGGTATCCTATACTGATGAGCATGAAACTTAGACCAATCAGTATTTTCTGTTAACTACAACCACTTGATATAGAAACGTGTTTGTAATAAGGAAATAAGTCGTATTAAAAAGCCCCGTTTCACCTACTTTAGTCTGAACAACCGATGTGAATTAACCAGCCGTCACGTCTACGACTTAAAGCTAAATTCATCAACATATACTTAAGGGAACATATACATTTTTATCAGGTCATATAACATGTTGTGTCATGATTGACTTATTGATAATGAGTTATGAATCAAATAAAATTATGTAGTATCTATAAAAACTAACACTATCATTCATTTTTTCTGAATTAGATGATGAGAATGTTTTCATTATTACATCCGATGTACATTCTTCTAAATCTGAACTTTCAGCTTCACCGGAATATGAACTAGTCAAAGAAAATGGATCTAAATCACCAACACTAATTAAATCATCATCGACAGCAGCATCATCTAGTTGATTAGTGGAAAAAGAATCATCATCTTCACGAAACTCAGAATCACTAGAATCCGATAATGACCCGGTAGATTCTGGGGGTGGACCAAAAAATGCACCAACTGTTTGATTACGATGACCAATAGGAAGTGCGGCCTGTAAAAAAAAGATTACAAATGATGTTAAATTAAGTGAATTCATTTACTGAGTACTTGAGCATGAACCATACAATAAATGTAGGGGTTAATGATACTTCTCTGTTGACAGAACCGAAGTAGGTGGGATGGAGCTCAAACCTGAGACTTAGTAGCTGAAAGCCTAACACCATAACCACTAAACTACCACTCCTTACATACTAACAAGAAATAAATAAACATTTCGCTTTGCAACCTCAATAACATTAACAATAATCACATGTAGCTAATAGATTGTATCGATACCAAGCTTATTTATATTTTCATCTGATAGTAGTGAGATTATGCACTTTTTGACTTCAAAAGTTTTGAACATTTGATATGCTTGCTCAGTAAATTCAGTGCTGAGATCAAAAAGACGGCAAAAGTGCTGCAGAATGATAGCATCAAAGAATCGAGAGTAGTCTTAGAGACTGGTTACTATTCGAATAGAAACCCATATATAATATATATCAGTGTTTAAAAATAAGAACTATATATCTATCTTAATTTAGTCTTCATTCATTTGGACAGATACTGAATGGTGTGTAACAAGTTAAGTGGATGAGACACTCACAGATACTTTTGCATGCAGACTAATCAATCAATTAGGCTTTAGATGGTCACACAATATCGCGACTAGATTGAAGTTAGACATAAGCACCGTCGAAGGCCAGCTAAGAGTTTGGGAATAAGACCGAGCATCTTAGGTTCCATTCCCGGTCGCAGAGTTGTGGATGGGCACTGAGTCCTAAACTAGGATGAAGTAAATTTCCAGAGCACCTCGACTCTTAATGGAGGTCTAGCTACGATCAGTTCGTGATTTAAAGACTATCAAAATTCTACAACCCTCACAAAACGCCATACTGATAATTAGGCTTTACATAATTTACATGTATTCAGGACAGACAAATTTTTATCTATTAAATAGAACTAAATTTGACTAGATAGATAATTTAAGCCTGTTCATTGATCATACTATTACTTACAATACATCACTTTACGTGTGAAGGCGAAAATTCAGCTTTTTATCGAATAGTTTTAAAAAGTAATATAAAATTCTATTATATAATACAGTGTTATAACGTAGAGATAAGAACACAAGACACACCTGTTCTGCTTCAGTCAATAACCATCCAGTTCTTAATAGAGCAGTTTGAAGCCAAGCATAATGATCACGTTTTAAAATAATGGGATCAGGATGGCTAAGTGCTTCTAATTTGGTTCCCGGTGAAGGACGAAGTACATATACACAATCTTGAAATAATTCACGAATAAATACTCGCATTAATAAGAAAGGAGCACGAAACCAGAGAGGAGCAGTTAGGATTAGTACACGCCGGAGACGTACAGGATAGGAGGACTTTATATAGAAAAACATAATAAAAGCAAAGAGTAAACGTCTCCAAAGTTAATAAAGTAGTAAATTTCAATTGCAAACATCCAGTCTAAATAGATAAGACATATCTTCAAGCCAACCTCCTTTAGGTTATTCGGATAAAGGCCTGTAAAACAAATAATTTGATAAACAGATAAATATTACACTGGAATCATGAACTGATCTAAGTTGTACCGCCATTTGGAAACCTGGAAACACTGAATGGTCGTTCCAGTGAGAAGCCGTGACCAATGGGGTTGAACCGTGTCGGGTATGAGGTAGTTACCCATTGACAAGAATGAAAGATGGTCGCGTAATATCGTGGATTGGTTAACTTTGTACATTAACACCGTCGGTTACAGGCTCAGTGGTCTAGAGGTTAGGCATTCGCAAATGAGACTGAGGGTCCTGGCTTCGACTCCCAAGAGGAAGGTTGTGGATGTGCAGTGTTGATGAGTCCCACAATAGGAATAAATGGTCATCTAATCCTTCCATTTTTTCAATGGTGGTCCAAATTAAATCGGTTCATGATTTCAATTAAATTCAACAATCTTCGAAACCCCATACTGACGAAAGTATATATTAAACGGATTTACGCAGTCATCCATTTGTAGTTCCAACAAATTAATTACAAAAAAGTGGTTCTTTAAAATCTTAGTCTTCAAGTGAAACAATCACAGTACCCGATTCAGACTAATGAGTTCTAAATCCATTGAAATTTACTGGTCATCAACTGGTGACTGTCGTAGCAATAAACGAATAAAGAGTAAAATTGGCATTAATACGTTTTTAACCAGAATATTCTGTAAGTCGGACAATGTTTTGTAGGTTGCCTTTTTTAAACTCGAAGATGACTGAAAATATGGCGAATGAAGTGCAGTCTTAAAAAAGTACTCAAAGTCGTAACATTGATCTACCGTACAGAAAAATGTGGCATAAGACGATGTTTCATTGTTAAACAGTGTAAGTATCACTAATTGTGGATTTCTATCAAGTTAATGACTATAGATCTTAAAGATAATTTGAACGAACAATTAAACGCTTAACGATCAAAGCTAAAACAAACTATCTCTCAGCGTTCATCATTCAGTCTTCTACAAATTCAGCTGCTGCATTTTTTCCATGAAATGAGAATATGACAAAGCTACCAACCCGAATTCACCACAAATTAAATAGATCAACTTCAATCTAACGAAAAGTCTGCACAATAAGACTAAGTAGTAACACGCAATGAAAGCAAGAGAGAGAAGGCAGTGATGATAAGCAGTACTAAACGGTTGTTAAAACTTTCAAAAGACAGCTTAACGGGCCGTCATTGGAGAGAACAGAGATTCACTGTTAAAAAAAAGGCACCAAGACGATGGGTGTAGAAACTACAACTGCCTCCAGCTATTCTACAGTTGTCCACTACCCAGTAACAGCGTAAGCAAGTGATTAAAAACTTCCCTCCAACTCTTACAGCACTCGAGGAGGTTACAACCAACTTTCAATAGGTGAGAGGACTAGGATATCAGAGTTTATTTCAGAAGCGTGACGGTACTTTCTTATCAGTAAGATTGACCGAGAAACTAGGGAAAGCCTGAGAGGTGGACATAATCCCATCAAACTAATCTTAATCGCAGGTCATAACAATTTATGAAGTAAAATATAAATTTTGTGATAACTACAAAAGAATCAGGTTGATTAATACAGAAACCAAATATTAATTTCCATAATAATCCAAAGCTTACGTAAAGCCCAGAGAAAGCAAACCTATAAAAACTAAGCTGGTTTCAAACCTAGACAGGAATTTATAGATGAAGAATTCATACTTCGACAGTTCTCAAAACATAGTAAAATGTTTGTCATTGAGAGGTATGTCAACAAAGTACATGAAACTATGTACGTTGTTTCATCAGAATACTTCGGTTTCGGCAGCCGGTTGGTATTACAAACCCCTAAATAATCGAAGAGCTATGTCAAAATCAAGAAAAATAGTTTTTACTTCGAAAACAATCTATCTTGCATGGTTTGCGTGAAAATGTTAGGGAAAAAACATAGTAAGTAGTGAGAATAAAAAATCCAGAAAAACACAAAAGGATGAGTAATTTCGGGTGATAAGAAATACATATTTAAACTGTCTTTAGTGCTAGCTTCAACTCACATGTGTACAGGGATAATTTAATAGGTTCATAAATAAGTCTTCGAAGGCGCTAAATGTTTTTTGCTTATCAGTTTGTCACCAATTACAGACATCTTAACAGAACATAATCTTGAGACTAACATATACAATAGTTTATATTAAGTATAAACTGAAATCATTTTGCATGTAAAAAAAGAATGAGTATGATGAAAACAGGCTATGTGTACACACATATGACGCAATAAAAAAGACATACTAATTAACTAATGAAATTATTCTTGACAAACAAAAGAAAACTCACTCGTAACATCTTGAATAACTTGCATGAAAATGTATAATCAAAATTGGAATATTTTGAATCGGTCATATCAAAAATGAATACAAGACCATTTCTAGCAGCTGTTTCTCTACACACACCAAAGACAAAAGCAAATGTTGTTTAGTGACAATGAAATTGTCGTACATAAAGCTTTCAAAAAACTAAAATTAAGGGTCAGTTAATTAGTTATAAACAACGTATAGCATAGTAAAAATATACATCGGATCGTTACCATACTACATTGGCACAACAAAATGGAATTGACAAGATTGATAGAAAAGATGAAATAATTGTTGTGCCAATCATAGCGAGAAAGACTAAGTGTTAAGAATATGATCTCCCCAAAAGAAAAGAATGAAAAGGTATGCATGAAGGGATACTGAGATTAAAAATCGAGAATAGTATAAATTATTTATTTATCTATTTAAACACATAAATATTGGCACAAGGATGCAGCAAACAGATATGCGCCAAATAAATCATTCGATTTATGTGAGGGCTAGGATACTGCCCGGGTGCTCAAACCGAAGCAGAGAATAGGATAAAGAGTGAATGCACATGCGCTAATGTGAACGATTCTGAGCCATGTCACTTAAAGTTTCCAACCAACGATCGAGGTTATTATTCGAATACTAACCAAGTAGTTGGGAATAAGAATATTTATAACTTAAATTTATTGTAACTAAAAATCATAAGTGGAATTTGAAACTACAACCAACAAAAGTATTACAATAACAATTTATCAATTAGATCGCTTTGCATTTGCGTCTGTTAGTATAACAAAAGAAGAACTACAGTAAAGATAGAATACCATTTAAATTATTATGAAATTTGTTTGATAAACATAACAACGAAAATATCCATCACAATTCCAAATTGCACACCCATATAACTTGGCTTACAAATACAAAATATCAAAAACTTTACACGAGGAAAATCAACTGTATCATATTTCTTTTTGCTTAATGTAGACTTGACCATAGTTAAGTTAGTAGAGGGCAATTATCTTCATTATCTTGACTTCCTTTTATATTCCCCTCAATGACTAAGTTTGATAATCTCAATGTTGTAAGTGTTCGGATTTCTGATAAAGTTATGGAACAGATATAGTAAGACGTCAACTGCAGTTTTCGGACGAAACAGATCATACTTTACATGAATACTTCAAAAACAAACGAAAATTTTCATATGCATGTGATCGTTATACGTGAGGCAAACATCTTGAGGATATGATAGATGAGGAAAACTACAAGGCGTATAAACTGGCATGTACAATGAAATTTTCCTGCGTTTAGTTAAGTATAGATTAGCTAGAACGCCTATTTCTTGAAGAAGATTGACTGTATAGACAAACCACTAAAAAACTGTACCATTGCAGAGAATTGAAATATGATAGGAATTTGGTCTTACTAAAGATTGGGAGTGATGATATTATTCTCTTGAATGGTGATCATTTGAGATAATAGTCTTTTTTTTAAAGAGTAAATTAAAAGGGGTTGTTCCAAAAATCTCCACATTACGTTTCACGCTACAATATCACATTATCGTAGTTGAAATAAGTTAACAAACAGATCTCTTTTGACTCCGGTAATCAATTAATAGAAAACTACTGTATACTTGAAGAGAACTAACCTCTACTGTATGGGCCACAAGAAATCATTGATCATTTACAAATTCATGACATAATGATGACCAATAAAGCTTATTATTAACGCTACTCCACTTAATAAATTCATAATTTTACACATAAAGAAATACATCGTCTATGAGAAAAAACGTTACTTTTACTGTGATGAAACACTAAAAATTATATGATCACTTCCTAAGATCGATTATTTGAGAATTCTCACGTTAACATGATGTACCATTAGCCACTATAAAGATTCTTAAAATTGTAAAATTCACTTTCAAATTAGTAAGATATACCGTTTAAATTAACAAGCTGATAAACCGACAACCTTAAATTAAGAAATCAGTACTATTCCCCGAGGTGGATGTTTAATACACCTATGGATATGGTTTATATATGTGTGCATTTAACTCGTATGTTGTAAAAATTAAGTTAATTCACCTTCTCAATGCAGCATCTAGCTGAAAGATGATACTATGCAACAAAGCCCGATGATTTCCTGATTTTCGATGTAATCTGACAAAAAACTGTGCCACACGAACACCAGGTATGTCATTATCATTCTATTTAGGAAAAAAATTAGTAAATTTAAATTATAATTACGAGAATGACGAATTTCCCTGACAATAGTTCACGTCTGACATCCTCTTCGAAGGGATCAACACGAGTAATCTGTTCACTGGCCAAAAATGTCTACAATAATCAGGTGAGTACTATAAGAGCACGAAATATACTTGATAATTATGATACAGCTCCATAGCCTGTGGGACAGAAAACTTGCGTGCAGCTAAAATATTAAAAGCTAGCTGATGATATTCAGGAGAATTTTGAGAGTTTTGAATAAGTGAAAGAAATTCCTCAATTTTCTAAAAAAAAAAAGAAAAAGGAAAGTTTCTTCGATACCAGAATTTTTGGAGGAAAAACTAAACATACATTTAAAATTCGGAAAGAAATAATCATAACGTAGAAATAATAATGGTATAGATATGAAAAAAGTAAGCGTTTATACTGATTTATTTACTACTCTGAAGTTCCGTACGATAGCCAAATGACTTCACACATATCTGAAATGATTACAAGTGACAGTAGATCGTACAGCCGAAATGTCTAAAACATCACAGCATGTATATGACTACGTTGCTACATATAGGGCGTAATATGAAATGTATCTCATTGATTTAAAACTTAAGTGTTAGCCCACAGACCTGAAGGTGAAGTTGAGGATCTCAATCCTGAGGAGACCCATGTTAGAATAAAACAGGTTTCGTGGATAGGTGGTCCAGTGTTAGGAACGCTCGACCTTTAGCAATTATCCACGTTCGAACTCTGTCTCATCTACTTTGGTGTAGAAAACCAGATTCCAAAACCAAAGTAGATGGAGCAAGGTTCGAACTTGTGGCATGGTGCTTGGGAATCAAGCACCTTAATTAATGAGTCGCTGCTCCACATGACTGCCACTAGGTACTATTCCGAGTCATATCTAAAGTGACATTCATTAAACAAGATGTAAACAAACTTTGCAGGTACATCACTCCACAGAAGAAAATTCTAGAGTACAGTCCTTGCGCACCGGATCGAAGACAAGACTAATATCAAGAAATAAGACGATTGTTGGATTGCAATAAGTGTAATGATGTTCTTGTATTTGAAGGGAGTGAAATACAATCAACACACATATGATCCGAAAGTAAACTTGCTCCCTGAGGGTCACTTTTTTGCGAGTTTCTATGTGGTCTGCAAAGCATGTTAGAAGACAGTAGTTTGGAAGCGATCGACAGTAAAATCGTTTGTATGGATAGCGGGGTGGACCGGATTCAAATCCCTCCATAAATACCATACTCGTGTACACATACGTAAATATTCCCACTTAAAAAATATAAGAAAAATCCCTTGGCTTTTATTGACTGCTTAAGACTATTTTCCGTCAGTTCACTTGAAAAATAGCAATGGCTCTCTAGAAAGCATTATGTACAGGCAGTGCAATCAAAAGCTTTATATGAAATTCACGAAAATCCAGTAAACCGCTAGTACGGTGGTACATAAAATGCAACCTAATGTACGAAGGCAAAAATATGAAATATAATAAAATGTACGAAGCTTATCAGAAATGGAATATTAGAAACCCGACAGTTCATGCAACTACACAAACATCCTAAATACGATAAAAACAATTGATGGGTTACTCAATAAAGATGGGTCGGTTTACAGAACCCAAAGTATAAGACATAACTAAATGACAGGCAGAGAACTAACCTACTCGTCCTTAAGAAGACTGAACTACGGTAAAGTTCCAGCACAATACGGAGATACTAAGGACATATCTTCAATTGACGCCAAAACGACGGTTGATTGGTAACTCATCTAGATCAGAACATTAGTCCCTATGACAAGATTGCTGAAAGAATCCCAACATGGACAGTACAAAGTAGGTAATTATATATCCTAAGCAATGGATTTTGATGTTGATGTAACTTATCCACCAAGTATATATTTATGCATTCAGCTTCAAGCCATGTTTGTGAGGATTCGTGAGTAACCGATTTTCAAAGCTGAAGGTGAAGCGTAACCCGAACCTGAGAACTACTTGTTGAAAGTTAAAGAGTACTAAGACACCGCAACCAGTTGCTCACTGAAGGCAATTCTACTTACCTTGATTACCTATAAATCTTAGCCTAACAATAAAGCTTACTGCCTCGTAATCAAAAAACATGAAAGTGATGTTCATAAAAATAAAAACACCTGTGATAAGTAAACCAACAGGGAAAAGTAATATATATATATTGCTAAATGTTTATTTCTATAGAAATAAGCATTTAAAAGACTACACACTAGAAACAACGCGACGAAATATGTTGATAAGCGGGAAGACTAACAAAAAAAGCAATGCAAAGGTTTTTTTTTACCTTCTTCTCATCTTCCGTTAGTTTATAAGAGTCCAAGTGATATTTCATAATAAATCTACCATTAGAACTTGAGGGCTCAAACTAGGCGCCTCTGTAAAGAAGGTATCCAAACAAGCCTCATGAATTCGACTCCAAACAAACGTAAAAACGTCATTTTACTTGTATTTTTCTCTTTCGAAGCCTAATAAAAGGCATATTATACATACTCTTTGAAGTACATGAAGTAGCTCAACTAAGAGTTCCAACAGATTCGGTGCTATATACGTAAATAGACCACGGGACCCTTCATGCGTAAAATCGGTATTGACCTTGTTTCCCCCACTTATCATCCATTGATCGGGAGTCGCTGTGGTTAATAAGCTTCGATTCATAATGACTCCGTGATAATAGTGCTTAAAGACGCCACAAATATTCAGGGTTTGACAAAGCATTTACACGTGACGCTTCTATAATCAAAGTGCACCATCTCAGTCAAACTAGAAGTCATAAATTGAGGGACTTGAAGATAGGTTTGAGAAGCTATCGATATGTCTAGAAGCGTTTAATCTAAGCTGACTATGTGTTGTGAGGGATGTGTAGCACGGTGTACTCACTCACGATCTGATGCACATGCGTGACCAGGCACCTTTGGCTAGGTTCTATCCAGTAAAGTGAATGAGGTCAGTAATAGCGTCGATGATGTACAAAACCATTTATCTGAGGGATTGATGTATTTATCACCAAAACTATTGCTGAGCTGCAAATATAGTCTTCCCGGGATAAATATATGAGCAACTAAACCATTACATTCCCGGAAGTAAGCAAGACCCATATGAGAAAGTTATGGCTATGCGTATTTTGGTTTCCATAGTCATGTGTAACCTGCCTGCAATCACAGTAGATGGTTTCTGGTCAATACTCATGCCATGTAATCATATATCACATAAAATATTTCTATTTTCGACTCGCTAATACGAAGAAGTTAGTCCGGTACTACAAATGTTTTACCCTGCTTATAAATTTAGGCTGTTTGTAATACTGTGTGCAGCCCTGTGATATACGTTAGTTATCTTAATATTAGTTTCAAGAAAAAGTGGCTTGTGGTATTTATACGAATTAATGATACCTTTGTGCTTAACTGAGTGGTCATAAGGATTCCGAAATATAATGCGTTCATTGTGCTCATCCGGTTCAACCTGCCTTAAATTGTAATACTTCGATAATTCTTTGCGGTCAACTTAACCTGATTACTTTAAATCGTCACACTGATGTCTCGACTGTGTCAAATCTTGGAAAGTTTGATACTAATTCAAGTGAGTGTAGTGACTCACATTTATCACGAGAACACGACTGGTTTAATAACAACAATTATTATTATAAACAACTGTACCAGTGTTTGTTTCAGTGTGCTTTTGTTTGACTGTGCTAATGACAGCTACATTGTGCTTCCATTCTTATTCTTACATTTTGATTGTGACTTCGCGCGAATTTGGTTACGTTCTGTAACCAAGCTTGTATCTTGGCACGATCTCGGTATCCTTTCGATACCACGAGATCACCAGCAAATATATCTCGACTTGGTCCATTAACTGCCTTCTGATATTTCGCTTCTGGGGGATTTTATGGAGTCATTTGGCACGTGTTACTCTGTAGCGGTGTTCATAGTCTACCGCGACTCGACGCCACGCTACATGAGGATGATTTTGTTAGCTTCATGGAGCAATTCGAAATCTGGCGCATGATTAGAAAGGACATTAAAGATGATAAATTCACAGCTTATTTTATGACGCTTATCGACAAAGAAGCTTATAACCTAATAAAGAATTCGGCTTGTCCAGAGAAACCAATTTGATTGTCATATGAATCTAATAATTGAGCTCATGAGTTAATTGAAGTTAGACCACCATGGAAAATCTGGAAGCACTGGACAGCCGTTTCATACTAGTATGGGACTCCTCAGCAGTGCGCATCGACGATCCCGCCCCGCGAGATTCCAACTCAGGACCTATCAGTCCCATGCGCGAAGGTTTAACCTCTAGATCAATGAGCCGGCATCCAGCGGTGTTAATATCTAACTTCAACCAATCTACCAATATGAATCGCCCAAGAAATTACTACTTAATCATATCTGGTACGCTAACTTAGGATGTAGAGAGAAATCGAAGTCTCACAAAACGATGTGAAAAAAACGATCAGAAAGCTGAAGACTTTGTTCTCAAACTACAATGATAAGCCAACCATTAAACGTACTCAGACATTGATATAAATAGGAAAGTGGTAAGAGGTCATAATTAATTATGTGAATTGGTGGAAAGTAATCAAGGGGATAAAAATGACACGTTCACTAGCAAAATGTTTACTTCGCTTTTTACTTATACTTACTCATTTTACCCCAGGTTAAACTTAGTCACCAGTTGATTTCCAATACATTACCTCTTCGAATGCAATTATACCACCAATCAGTTAAGTTCGTATGCTAATAACCAGAAATCCTCAACAAAAGTGGTAAGCCTTGACACTGAATCACCGCTAAACGCAGCAGCAGTCTGATAGCTAGCAAAAACTATCACATAATCTTTGAAACAACTCTTTATGCTAATGAGAATTCAAAAGTTTGCAGCACAACCAACTTATCACTGTCCTATTATTAGAAACCTTAAAAAAGTTATTCCATTTGGCATAAAATAGCATTATTCCAGACACGGTATAAGTAAGCACCTTTATGTCAACTGTCAAATCATTAACGGCAAAGAAACTATAACTTAAACAAAGTGAGAAAATTAAAGCGATAGCATCTAGCATGACCAACAGACATGAATAAAGTGACATATGTCCCCAATGAGCTTACGGTTTGGACTGGTTAGTGGGATAACTCATGTCTACCTGGGCTAACCCGGTTTTAAAATATTGGTAAAAAAGGCCAAACACCCGATCATATGTGTAAACTGAATCGGTAAATCGCGCCGGTTGACCAAAAGCCAAATCGGAGTACATGTCCCTAAATCGCCTACTTAAATACTTACACCTGCTACCCCCCGTGGAGTAGCTGTAGTGGCATTGGACAATAACCACGCAATTCACAAAGCTGAACACGAGATTACTCAGAAAATAGATATTCAATATTTAACGAGGAGAAATACCTAATGATGGAGAAGGCGGTAAGAATGTATTGAATGAGCTGGAGTTGGTCGAATGGCATGACTCCGCCACGCAGGCGTGGTCCTTGTTTAATGTTATCTTATATCTTTTATTCATATTCAATATATTGTTCTATCTCTAGCCTAAGCTTGTTCTCCATCATGTATTGGTAACTGTTACGATACAATGAGTTGGTTTAGACGATGATGTGACTTCCACGTAAGATCTTATAGATTTGGCAGTTATATCATGACAAATCTACAATTATAGGAATAGGTCTATTATTAGAGCAGTACTAGTATCATAGTTGACCATAGTTCTACAAAGCCTAGGCTGCCGACCAGCATTCTCCATCGAGCTTTGTCTTGGGAAATCCTTTCCACTTGTTTCCAGCTACTGTCTATTGTTCTGACGTCAGCTTACAGCTCTCGACGCATTTTTTTCTTCGACCTTCGTCTTTTCCATTTCCCTTCAGCATTCCACGTTACTGCTTGCCTCATGGTGCAGTTTGATGATTTCCTCGATGTATGTCCTATCCACTTTCAACGTCTTTTCCTAGTTTCATCTTTACTTGGAGGCTGGTTTGTTCTCTCACACAATAGGCTGTTGCCAATGATATCCGGCCAACGGATAACATGTATCTTGTTTAGACAATTGTTTATGGACACTTGCACATGTTTTATGGTGGTTGTGGTGGTTCTCCAAGTTTCAGCTCCTTACAATAGAACTGCCTGGAAGTTCTTATTGAAGATACCCACTTTGATATTTATTGACAGTTGTTATAGTTTCCGTATGTTCTTCAGCTGTAGAAATGCGGTTCTTACTCTTCCAATACCTGACATCATATGAGCATCATATATTTCTTGTCCATCGATGATGCTGTCCAGGTGCGTGAAAGCTTCCACCACTTCCAGAGTTTCCCCATCAAGTGTGACTGGAATGGTGTTTACCATGTTGTGTTTGGGAATCTTGATTTTTTTCTTGTTTGTGTTGAGGCCTACTGATGCAGGGGCTGCTGCTACACTAGTCGTCTTCATCTACATTTGTTCGTGTGTATGGGATAGGAGAGTTAAGTCATCTGCTAGACCCAAATCTTCTAGTTGATTCCGTGCTGTCCATTGAATTCCGTGTCTTCTCTCCGATGTTGGGGTTTTTATAATGCATTCAACCACCAGAAGAAAGAGGAAAGAGAGAGTAAGCAACCTTGTTTCACTCCGGTCTTTATAGGTAATTGATCTGTCAGCCGTCCTTCATGCACGACTTTGCACTGTGATCTGTCGTATGAATTCAGGATGATGTTGAAAATTTTCTCAGGTACTCCATAGGGTCAAAGAAGGTTCCATAAGATTCTCATATCCACGCTGTCAAACGCGTTTTCACAATCAAGGAAGTTGATGCGTAGTGACGAATTCTACTCAACTGATTGTTCAACAATTATCCGCAGTGTCGCGATTCGGTCTGTGCATGACCAATCCTTACGGAATTCAGTCCGTTGATCTCGAAATTAGGTGTTCACTGAATCTCCCACCCGGTTCAGCGACACTTTGCTGAACACTTTTCCTGGTATCGATAGTAGTGTGATACCTCTGTAGTATCGACATCTTGTCAGATCTTTCTTTGGCATTTTTATGATATATTCTTCTTTCCAGTCCATGGGCGCTTGTTTTTCCTGCCAAATCTTCCTGCATGTTTGCAATTACTTCTGTGTCTGACTTCAGCTCATCAAATGGTGGGTTGTCAGGTTCTACTGCCTTCCCACTCTTGATTTATCCAATAGCCATGATGATTTCTTCAACCACCGGTGGAGTGAAATCCATAGGAAAATCTGTAGGTGCTACTCCAATGTACCGTGTTCAGTGAAACTAGCCTATCCAAAAATTCTTCAAAGTGTTCCACCAATCTGTTCCTCTGCTCTTGAATCTCAGTGATTGGCTCCTCTTCTTTGTCCTTGACTAGTCTTTCTGATTTGC